GATTCGCTTGTGGCAAATGGTGCCCCCAGACAGTGCAAGGACTGTGGGTGTGTTGAGTCACATTTGCTCTTGGGGAATGTGCGTGATGAGATGTTTGGACATAATCGGAACGTATCGGAACAAGCTGTGCATGAACGAGGTGCCAGCATCTGCAGATACGCCTCTCCAACGAAACTGTCGCAGGTTGGTCATCAAGGATTAGAAGCTGATGCTGGGTTTGTCCTGCGACTTGACCAGCAGCAGTGGCATAACAGCACGAGGGCTCATCAACTTTGACTTGTGCTAGCTTGAAAGCAGAAGAAGCTTTCATGTGGCCCGGTTCAGGCCAGGCTAGAACCTCACACTGTAGGCCAGCTACTCAGGTCAGATCCGTCACATCCCAGCTTTTGCGCAGCAGTTTCAGGCAGGCCCAAAGTGACGTTGGGATGGTAGCATGGGTCAAAACCAACGGAATCCCGTTTTGGGGTAGGTGCACTACCCATTTTTGTCTATTTTTGTGGGGATTGGGATGCTCATTGGGGGTACGGGAGTTTGACCCATGGCCATGTACGTTGGCAAATTGCCATGAGTGCTCAGACACGCTATAGGTGTTAGCTCAAGAACAGCATTCCCGCAGCTCGGCGTTATTGAAGATTTTGCACATGCAATTGGCAACCGTATCTATATGAGGCATGATCCGAAGTGTGCACGGTGCACGGATTCGCTTCCTGGCACAAGGTCATTGATTTGCGAATGGATGGATACGCAAGCTGCCAATTTCAGTGTGGATCAGTGCAAGCAGGAATCCTTGCTGCAAGTCCAAACTTGTGTTGCTGTGCATGTTGTTTGTGATCTTGCGAAGCGCACAGCCACCGTACACAAACGGCAACAAGGTAGCAGCCCGCAACACTGCTTTTTCAGGACTATGTCCGTCCTTCGTTTACCAGTCGTGACCAATTAGATCTGTCCAAAGAGAGAGGATGGTGCTGTCTCCTGAGTGGAGCATTGGGATCATGGAGAGTTTTTTGTTTTTTTTGTTTTTTTTTTTTTGGGGGGGGGGGGGGGGGCGGGGGGGCGGGGGGGGGGGGCGGAGAGTGAGTGTTCGTCAACATCCCTGATAAGAGCAGAAGATGGACAATAAACAGGTATGGGGAGAGAGACGGACGCCTCTTGCCTGAGAGAGTGTGGGGGTCTGAGTTGGTGAGGGAGAGGGCCATTTGTGCAAGAGGCTCCGCCGCTTTTATTCTGAGAAGCGAGGAAGAGAGATGGTAGGTTTCACCCCATGTATGAAGCTCAACAATTCTGCGAACCAACATTTATTGGGGTGGAAGTGGAACAGGAAGTCCAGACAATGGCGGGGGAAACTCTACTCTGAACAATGGGAGCGGGCATGCCACGTGTTGGCGAGGTGCTCGGCAAGCTAGGCTGTCAGGCAACTCCTCCTGTGTCTCACCACTTTAGCGGCTGCCTGAAGCTTTCTTCGTGTCATTCTGAGAGTCTTCTGTCGACATCTTCTATGTGCTGATAATTTTGCCAATTATGTTAATCCGTAGCAGCTCTGCGCTTTAGCGCTCGGAGGCACTATTTCATGGCTGCCCGGTGCCACCTCCTTAGCTAAGCATCGCTCACTTTTCTCAAGCAGGCCTCGAAACCATTTTGGACAACAAGCCCACATTCTGGCTCTATTTTGATGCGAGCTTTAGTCCAACATCAACTTCCGCCCCTAGTTCCGAAATATCATCCCATTTCTGCCCAGTCGTTTATGGCGGTATGGAGGGCCGATTTGGAAACAGGAACCAGATCAGCCTACAGAGCAAGCACAGCGTCTACTTTAGTCAACTAAAATAATTAAGTAAAGAATGGCGATGCTGATGGATGGTGTGAAGCCTGTCCCAGAGTGGACTCGAACCCCAGAAGACGCCCAAACCCCTTGCATATGTTCAGAAAACGGTGCAAGGAGCAGGCACCAACGTCTACCGTAAACCTAAACATCCCGACATCCGCGCAGAGCATTGTCCCAGATACTAGGTGGGGGAGTTTGGTCTATCCGTGTTCCACATGTGTTACATTCCCCTTTAGTGAAGAAGTGGTCGGCGGATACTTTGTTGTAGGTGAATAAGTGTATGCGCACGCGATGGAGAAAACTCACAGACAGGAGGAAGGGCTTATTTCGGCACGGGCATGTTTGTGAGACTTCCGTTGCTTTGTGGCCAACATTGGAGAGAAAGGCAGATGGATCCTCCCCTGAGTACTAGCAAATTGATGTCGGAGAGTTGGAAGAAGAGAAGAAACGCGCTCCAAACTATGGTTCCTTTATTTCGAAGCTTCCGCCCACCGGCTTCACCGGCTCTACTGCTCTACTGGTATTGAACCTGAAGGTTTCTGTGAGGTTCATGTGAATTTCACTCGGTCTTTACGCACAATGGCACCGGTGGGGGGTGGGGGGGTGTGCTTGTGCCAATGATTATTCGGGTTGCCAGTTGGTTCCCTCAAAATGGGCAAGCTTGTGTGGGACTACTGCACGGCTTGCCTGAGGACTACTGCACGGCTGGGCTCCGTGGCTTCCACAAGTTCCTCTCCTCAGGAGTACCCTGCCTGAGATGTTTTTTTTTGTTTTGGGTTTTCAGCGGTTTGTTTGGGCTGTGTGGCTTGCTTCTTGAGGCTGCCGTATACAAGCAGAACATGCGCACGCTTGGGCTCGCCCTGGGATTTTTCGTGGCCCTTCAGATGGCGCCGCCGCCTTTGTTTCGTCGTCTTTTTTTTCTCGTCGCCTTTCACTTCGCTCCGGCGCAGGGCCCTCAGGCAGGAGGCCTAGGGGCCATGGGCCCGGCTCGAGTCCTAGAGAGAGGCTGCCGTCCTTAGAGACAACGGCCACCGGCGGTAATTTTCAAGCAGGGCGCTGGCGAAATGGCTTAGATCAAGTAGATACGCCGGCACACTGCTTGGCTTGGGACCTTAGATGGAAGTATGGGGAGAGTGACAGTGCGCAGCTTGGTAGCTCCTTAGATAGCAGTGCCAGCGCCCTCCTTTCATGGTGCTACCTGCCTCGGGAGTTGGATTTCTAATGCACAGCGGACGAATGATGACTTGACCTGTCATTGTGTTCACTGGTCAGTCCGGTAGTTTCTTTCGGATTCGCCTCGTTGCATGCTGCATAGCACTCTCAGATAGAATCAGCATGTGATCGCCTTCTTACTTTGTCAAGGAAATAATTCCATTGACTTGGCTTAGGATGGCTTTTGTGCATAGTCGCCTGCTGTGGTGCGCCCTTAGAGCGGTGCTTGGGAACCAGGATGCAGCGGAGGGCTTTGTTGGCACAATGGCTTAGATCGTTACCAAGATCAGTTGCTTGCGCTGTCAGAAGCACAGGCTTGCTTTGGCCTTTGCCACTAGCTAAGAGACACTGAGGTCTTTAAACTTAGGTCTAGAAATCTTGTTGCTGCTTTGCGGCTTGGGACCCCAGACGGAAATAGATGGAAATATGGGGAGAGTGACAGTGGGCAGCTTCGTAGCTCAGTAGAGTGCAGTGCCAGCTCGCTCGCTTTCGCAAGCATTGCTAGCAGGGTCATGGCGCTACCCGCCTCAGGAGGTTTATTTTGGGTAGACGCTGTGTGCAAACACTTCGGGAGTGTTTTCCACTGGCAGTTCTTCTCACTTCCTCTGACTTGCCATGAGTTCGACTGACTGGCTTAGGATGGCTGTTGCGGATGGTCGGTGGCTCTGCATGACTGGCGAGTAGCAAGGCATTGTGGCGCAGCATGCAGGCGCCTCAAAGACTGTTGTTCAGGCGTAGAAGCACCGAGCTTGAGCCGTAGCCTTCTATTCACGTCAATTACTGGAGAGTGCGGCCCGTCGCTTAAGTGTCATACCTCCCAGCTGCCTGCGGTTGCTGGTGTTAGATGGAGAAGCATGATTGGTTACGTACTTTTCCCAGTTGGCAGATCTAGCTGGTTTGAGATGCTTAGAGCGGTGCTTAGGAACCAGGATGCAGCGGAGGGCTTTGTTGGCACAATGGCTTAGATCCTTACTAAGATCACTGGCGGAAGCACAGGCTTGCTTTGGTCTTTGCCACTAGCTAAGGGACACTGAGGTCTTTAAACTTAGGTCTAGAAATCTTGTTGCTGCTTTGCGGCTTGGGACCCCAGACGGAAATAGATGGAAATATGGGTGTGGCTCAAAATCAAGCAGGAGGGGTTACGCAGGTTTTGGTCCACGTTTCTACTTACCAGGGTTCATTTTGGTACCGGATTTTTGAGCCACAGTTATATGGGGAGAGTGACAGTGGGCAGCTTCGTAGCTCGGTAAATTGCAGTGCCAGCTCGCTCGCTTTCGCACGCATTGCTAGCAGGGTTATGGCGCTACACGCCTCAGGAGGTGTATGCTAAGTCGACGCTGTGTGCAAACACTTCGGGAGTGTTTTCCACTGGCAGTTCTTCTCACTTCCTCTGACTTGCCATGAGTTCGACTGACTGGCTTAGGATGGCTTTTGCGGATGGTCGGCGGCTTTGCATGACTGGCGAGTAGTAAGGCATGGTGGCGCAGCATGCAGGCGCCTCAAAGACTGTCGTTCAGGCGTAGAAGCACCGAGCTTGAGCCGTAGCCTTGTATTCACGTCAATTACTGGAGAGTGCGGCCCGTCGCTTAAGCGTCATACCTCCCAGCCTGCGGTTGCTGGTGTTAGATAGAGAAGCATGATTGGTTGCGTACTTTTCCAGTTGGCAGATCTAGCTGGTTTGAGATGCGTAGAGCGGTGCTTAGGAACCAGGATGCTGCGGAGGGCTTTGTTGGCACAATGGCTTCGATCCTTACTAAGATTGCTAGCAGCAGCACAGGCTTGCTTTGGCCTTTGCCACCAGCTAAGCCACACTGAGGTCTTTAAACTTAGGTCTAGAAATCGTGTTGCTGCTTTGCGGCTTGCGACCTTAGACGCAAATAGATGGAAGTATGGGAATAGTGACAGTGGGCAGCTTCGTAGCTCGGTAGAGTGCAGTGCCAGCTCGCTCGCTTTCGCAAGCATTGCTAGCAGGGTCATGGCGCTACCCGCCTCAGGAGGTGTATTTTGGGTAGACGCTGTGTGCAAACACTTCGGGTGTGTTTTCCACTGGCTGACTTGATCGCTTCACCGCTCGACCAGATGACCCGATGACTTTTGTGGTGCTGGCTCGTCCAGTAGTTTTTCAGGGATTCACCTTGTTGCATTCTGCACAGGATTCTTCGGATAGTTTCAGTATGTGCCGATCTTGCTAGTTTGTTACTTGGTCAAGGAAAGTATTCTCACTTCCTCTGACTTGCCATGAGTTCGACTGACTGGCTTAGGATGGCTGTTGCGGATGGTCGGTGGCTTTGCATGACTGGCGAGTAGTAAGGCATGGTGGCGCAGCATGCAGGCGCCTCAAAGACTGTTGTTCAGGCGTAGAAGCACCGAGCTTGAGCCGTAGCCTTGTATTCACCTCAATTACTGGAGAGTGCGGCCCGTCGCTTAAGCGTCATACCTCCCAGCTGCCTGCGGTTGCTGGTGTTAGATGGAGAAGCATGATTGGTTGCGTACCTTGTCCAGTTGGCAGATCTAGCTGGTTTGAGATGCTTAGAGCGGTGCTTAGGAACCAGGATGCAGCGGAGGGCTTTGTTGGCACAATGGCTTAGATCCTTCCTAAGATCGCTGGCAGAAGCACGGGCTTGCTTTGGCCTTTGCCACTAGCAAAGAGACACTGAGGTCTTTAAACTTAGGTCTAGAAATCTTGTTGCTGCTTTGAGGCTTGGGACCTTAGACGCAAATAGATGGAAATATGGGTGTGGCTAAAAATTAAACAGGAGGGGTTACGCAGGTTTTGGTCCACGTTTCCACTTACCAGGGTTCCATTTTAGTACCGGTTTTTTGAGCCACAGTTATATGGGGAGAGAGACAGTGGGCAGCTTCGTATCTCGGTAGATTGCAGTGCCAGCTCGCTCGCTTTCGCACGCATTGCTAGCAGGGTCATGGCGCTACCCGCCTCAGGAGGTTTATTTTGGGTAGACGCTGTGTGCAAACACTTCGGGAGTGTTTTCCACTGGCAGTTCTTCTCACTTCCTCTGACTTGCCATGAGTTCGACTGACTGGCTTAGGATGGCTGTTGCGGATGGTCGGTGGCTTTGCATGACTGGCGAGTAGTAAGGCATGGTGGCGCAGCATGCAGGCGCCTCAAAGACTGTCGTTCAGGCGTAGAAGCACCGAGCTTGAGCCGTAGCCTTGTATTCACGTCAATTACTGGAGAGTGCGGCCCGTCGCTTAAGCGTCATACCTCCCAGCCTGCGGTTGCTGGTGTTAGATGGAGAAGCATGATTGGTTGCGTACCTTTTCCAGTTGGCAGATCTAGCTGGTTTGAGATGCTTAGAGCGGTGCTTAGGAACCAGGATGCAGCGGAGGGCTTTGTTGGCACAATGGCTTAGATCCTTACTAAGATTGCTAGCAGAAGCACAGGCTTGCTTTGGCCTTTGCCACTAGCTAAGAGACACTGAGGTCTTTAAACTTAGGTCTAGAAATCTTGTTGCTGCTTTGCGGCTTGCGACCTTAGATGGAAATACGGGGAGAGTGACAGTGGGCAGCTTTGTAGCTCGGTAGAGTGCAGTGCCAGCTCGCTTTCGCACGCATTGCCAGCAGGGTCATGGCGCTACCCGCCTCAGGAAGCTGTGTGCAAACACTTTGGGTGAGTTTTCCACTGGCTGACTCAGATAGTTTCAGTATGTGACGAACTTGTTAGTTTGTCAAGGAAAGTATTCTCACTTCCTCTGACTTGCCATGAGTTCGACTGACTGGCTTAGGATGGCTGTTGCGGATGGTCGGTGGGTTTGCATGACTGGCGAGTAGTAAGGCATGGTGGCGCAGCATGCAGGCGCCTCAAAGACTGTTGTTCAGGCGTAGAAGCACCGAGCTTGAGCCGTAGCCTTGTATTCACGTCAATTACTGGAGAGTGCGGCCCGTCGCTTAAGCGTCATACCTCCCAGCCTGCGGTTGCTGGTGTTAGATGGAGAAGCATGATTGGTTGCGTACCTTTTCCAGTTGGCAGATCTAGCTGGTTTGAGATGCTTAGAGCGGTGCTTAGGAACCAGGATGCAGCGGAGGGCTTTGTTGGCACAATGGCTTAGATCCTTACTAAGATCGCTAGCAGAAGCACAGGCTTGCTTTGGCCTTTGCCACTAGCTAAGCTACACTGAGGTCTTTAAACTTAGGTCTAGAAATATTGTTGCTGCTTTGCGGCTTGCGACCTTAGATGGAAATACGGGGAGAGTGACAGTGGGCAGCTTCGTAGCTCGGTAGAGTGCAGTGCCAGCTCGCTCGCTTTCGCACGCATTGCTGGCAGGGTCATGGCGCTACCCGCCTCAGGAAGCTGTGTGCAAACACTTTGGGTGAGTGTTCCACTGGCTGACTTGATCGCTTCACCGCACGACCAGATGACACGATGATCTTTGTGATGTTGACTGGTCCAGTAGTTTCTTTTTGGAATTCACCTTGTTGCATTCTGCATAGGACTCTTCAGATAGTTTCAGTATGTGACGAACTTGTTAGCTTGTCAAGGAAAGTATTCTCACTTCCTCTGACTTGCCATGAGTTCGACTGACTGGCTTAGGATGGCTGTTGCGGATGGTCGGTGGCTTTGCATGACTGGCGAGTAGTAAGGCATGGTGGCGCAGCATGCAGGCGCCTCAAAGACTGTCGTTCAGGCGTAGAAGCACCGAGCTTGAGCCGTAGCCTTGTATTCACGTCAATTACTGGAGAGTGCGGCCCGTCGCTTAAGCGTCATACCTCCCAGCCTGCGGTTGCTGGTGTTAGATGGAGAAGCATGATTGGTTGCGTACCTTTTCCAGTTGGCAGATCTGGCTGGTTTGAGATGCTTAGAGCGGTGCTTAGGAACCAGGATGCAGCGGAGGGCTTTGTTGGCACAATGGCTTAGATCCTTACTAAGATTGCTAGCAGAAGCACAGGCTTGCTTTGGCCTTTGCCACTAGCTAAGAGACACTGAGGTCTTTAAACTTAGGTCTAGAAATCTTGTTGCTGCTTTGCGGCTTGCGACCTTAGATGGAAATACGGGGAGAGTGACAGTGGGCAGCTTTGTAGCTCGGTAGAGTGCAGTGCCAGCTCGCTCGCTTTCGCACGCATTGCTAGCAGGGTCATGGCGCTACCCGCCTCAGGAAGCTGTGTGCAAACACTTTGGGTGAGTTTTCCACTGGCTGACTTGATCGCTTCACCGCTCGACCAGATGACACGATGATCTTTGTGATGTTGACTGGTCCAGTAGTTTCTCTTTGGAATTCACCTTGTTGCATTCTGCATAGGACTCTTCAGATAGTTTCAGTATGTGACGAACTTGTTAGTTTGTCAAGGAAAGTATTCTCACTTCCTCTGACTTTCCATGAGTTCGACTGACTGGCTTAGGATGGCTGTTGCGGATGGTCGGTGGGTTTGCATGACTGGCGAGTAGTAAGGCATGGTGGCGCAGCATGCAGGCGCCTCAAAGACTGTTGTTCAGGCGTAGAAGCACCGAGCTTGAGCCGTAGCCTTGTATTCACGTCAATTACTGGAGAGTGCGGCCCGTCGCTTAAGCGTCATACCTCCCAGCCTGCGGTTGCTGGTGTTAGATGGAGAAGCATGATTGGTTGCGTACCTTTTCCAGTTGGCAGATCTAGCTGGTTTGAGATGCTTAGAGCGGTGCTTAGGAACCAGGATGCAGCGGAGGGCTTTGTTGGCACAATGGCTTAGATCCTTACTAAGATCGCTAGCAGAAGCACAGGCTTGCTTTGGCCTTTGCCACTAGCTAAGCTACACTGAGGTCTTTAAACTTAGGTCTAGAAATCTTGTTGCTGCTTTGCGGCTTGCGACCTTAGATGGAAATACGGGGAGAGTGACAGTGGGCAGCTTCGTAGCTCGGTAGAGTGCAGTGCCAGCTCGCTCGCTTTCGCACGCATTGCTGGCAGGGTCATGGCGCTACCCGCCTCAGGAAGCTGTGTGCAAACACTTTGGGTGAGTTTTCCACCGGCTGACTTGATCGCTTCACCGCTCGACCAGATGACACGATGATCTTTGTGATGTTGACTGGTCCAGTAGTTTCTTTTTGGAATTCACCTTGTTGCATTCTGCATAGGACTCTTCAGATAGTTTCAGTATGTGACGAACTTGTTAGTTTGTCAAGGAAAGTATTCTCACTTCCTCTGACTTGCCATGAGTTCGACTGACTGGCTTAGGATGGCTGTTGCGGATGGTCGGTGGCTTTGCATGACTGGCGAGTAGTAAGGCATGGTGGCGCAGCATGCAGGCGCCTCAAACACTGTCGTTCAGGCGTAGAAGCACCGAGCTTGAGCCGTAGCCTTGTATTCACGTCAATTACTGGAGAGTGCGGCCCGTCGCTTAAGCGTCATACCTCCCAGCCTGCGGTTGCTGGTGTTAGATGGAGAAGCATGATTGGTTGCGTACCTTTTCCAGTTGGCAGATCTAGCTGGTTTGAGATGCTTAGAGCGGTGCTTAGGAACCAGGATGCAGCGGAGGGCTTTGTTGGCACAATGGCTTAGATCCTTACTAAGATTGCTAGCAGAAGCACAGGCTGGCCTTTGCCACTAGCTAAGAGACACTGAGGTCTTTAAACTTAGGTCTAGAAATCTTGTTGCTGCTTTGCGGCTTGCGACCTTAGATGGAAATACGGGGAGAGTGACAGTGGGCAGCTTTGTAGCTCGGTAGAGTGCAGTGCCAGCTCGCTCGCTTTCGCACGCATTGCTAGCAGGGTCATGGCGCTACCCGCCTCAGGAAGCTGTGTGCAAACACTTTGGGTGAGTTTTCCACTGGCTGACTTGATCGCTTCACCGCTCGACCAGATGACACGATGATCTTTGTGATGTTGACTGGTCCAGTAGTTTCTTTTTGGAATTCACCTTGTTGCATTCTGCATAGGACTCTTCAGATAGTTTCAGTATGTGACCGGCTTGTTAGATTGTCAAGGAAAGTATTCTCACTTCCTCTGACTTTCCATGAGTTCGACTGACTGGCTTAGGACGGCTGTTGCGGATGGTCGGTGGCTTTGCATGACTGGCGAGTAGTAAGGCATGGTGGCGCAGCATGCAGGCGCCTCAAACACTGTTGTTCAGGCGTAGAAGCACCGAGCTTGAGCCGTAGCCTTGTATTCACGTCAGTTACTGGAGAGTGCGGCCCGTCGCTCAAGCGTCATACCTTCCAGCTGACTTTGCGGTTGCTGGTGTTAGATGGAGAAGCATGATTGGTTGCGTGCTTTTCCCAGTTGGCAGATCTAGCTGGTTTGAGATGCTTAGGGCGGTGCTTAGGAACCAGGATGCAGCGGAGGGCTTTGTTGGCACAATGGCTTAGATCCTTACTAAGATTGCTAGCAGAAGCACAGGCTTGCTTTGGCCTTTGCCACTAGCTAAGAGACACTGAGGTCTTTAAACTTAGGTCTAGAAATCTTGTTGCTGCTTTGCGGCTTGCGACCTTAGATGGAAATACGGGGAGAGTGACAGTGGGCAGCTTCGTAGCTCGGTAGAGTGCAGTGCCAGCTCGCTCGCTTTCGCACGCATTGCTAGCAGGGTCATGGCGCTACCCGCCTCAGGAGGCGTATTTTAATTTGACGGCGTTACGGGGTGTGCAAACACTTTGGGCTTTTTGTCCACCAGCTGACTCGATCGCTTGACCGCTCGATCTGACCACCTGGTGACCTGATGACCTGATGACGTGATGACCTGATGACTGGGCTTGTCTTTTTGTGAATAGTTTGACTCAATTTGACGGCACAGCATGCAGGCGGCGCGGAAGCACAAAGCGGGAACCGAAGCCGAGTATTTTGCGATTGTTTAATGCACTCAGATGGCAGATCTCCCTTAAGTGTGCCTACCAGCCGTTCTTGCCGAAGAGAGACCCCACAAAGTCTTTCCCATTCGTTGCTTGTAGACGTCTAAGAAATTAGAAGGTTGCTTTCACGAGGTTCTGTGAGATCACCCACGCTTTCAGCTTGTCACCTTGCTTGAGGAACCCGGATGCAGCCGATGGCCTTGTTGGCACAATGGCTTAGATCGGCCCTTAGATCTTTCAGATTCAAGTGTTGTGCCAGCGGGTGGTATAGTCGCTCTTTGGCCTTTGCTTACTAGCAAGGCAAGACGGCATTTTTTCCCCTTAGGTCTAGGATGCGTGTGGCTGCTTTGAGGCTTGGGACCCTTAGATATGGGAAGAGTGGCAATGGTCAACCGCCTGAAAGGCAGACTCGTCCTGAGGTGTTGTGACGCGTGAGGGACAGTTGAGTCTTGTTGTTTTCCATTCATTGAGGTGTTTTGATACTTCTTGGCGTGAAGAGTTCGCATCTGCTACCGTTCATTTGATCCATTAGAGAAGTTGCCCGATTCTTCGTCTCGTATCTAGCAGATGAGGCTGGTTCACACAACTGGCGGCTTTTCAGATCCCACGCTGCGGCGCTCGTCGATTGCCAGGTGCAGCTTGTTATTGTGGTTCGCCTTCCACAGCACAAAAGGCGGAGCGGTTGAACTGTTGTCAAGTAGGGACTGCCGCTGGAATTGACAATGCTTGCGCTTGAACCTCACTCCACAGTGCAATGAGAGGGACAGAGAGAGAGAGAGAGAGAGAAAGAGAGAGAGAGAGAGAGAGAGAAAGAGAGAGAGAGAGAGAGAAAGAGAAGTTGCTGAACAAAGTGGAGGGAGCATGGGCACACACACACACACATACTGCCAAGCCCTCGTTACTCGTTGACTGCCACTTTCTTGCCTAGATCTGATTGAAAGCTGGGTGAAAGGATGTTCATACCAGCCAAGGTTACCGATGCAGCTTGCAGCTTGCTGAACTTAGGTGTGCCTGTTTGTTTGCAGCGAGGCTTAGTCGAGTCTTGCCTGGAGATCACTCTTCGGAATCTTTCGGCGAAGATGCTCGGCGGAAGTGAAACTCAAGCGCTGAAAGTCAGTATTTCAAGCATCGGTCGGCCGCGGTAAGAGTGATGGCTCTGACCCACGAAGGCTATCACACCGACACTGCAGCACAGTCGTTGTGAGCTGCCCTCAGGATCTGCAGACGGTGATTCCGCGTGCAAGACCAGGTGCTCGCAATGGGACGCAGGTGGCTTCTGGTTTTGCCGACGAGCATGTGCCTGAAACTGCGGACTCTTGCTGGGAGACGTGGCATGCATGCTGCAATGCAGGTCAGGACGATCAACGTGAGGGAGGCCAAAAGACTCGAAAGACGAATCAGCGTGGGTACCGATTTGGCCTTCTCTGGTACTTACACCGGGCCCAGTTCCGCGGGTCGGGGATCCTCCGGCTCGCGGTAACCTCCAGCTTGTACAGGAGAACGGCTATGGCCGGAATTCGGCGTGGTGCTTTGTCCGCACCTGCAGCGTTAGCCAGCAAAGCTGCTGGGCTCAGGAGACCTGTGAGGCAAAGCCCCAGGTTGATGGACATTTGCTTGGATTTTTAGCTGAAAGCTAAACTTCAAAGATGCAGAGGTTTGCAGATGTTGCTTGTAGGAGCAATTTTCACAAGCCATGCACTGAAGCGGCGTTGGGGGAAGTGCGTGCGGTTGGATGGCGTTGGGTGACAAGAGAGCACTGGCAAGGTGACAACCAAGTTTCTTGACAGTGAGACCCAGCAAATCCTGCAATAGATCTTGAGGTGCTGGGAGAGAAGAAGCACTTGTGCCTGACGACGGGGACCTCCAGCGGGAAGTCCCTGGCCTTCGCGCTGCCGATCCTGGAGGCCTATCGTCAAGATCCCAAGTCCCGGGCGCTGGTGCTGTTCCCCACGAAGGCCGGGGGTGCTCTGAAGATCGCACTTGTGGACGTGGACTCGAACGCACCGGGTGATGCTGAGGGCTCGATTTTTTTACTGCCACAATGACTTTAATCCAGGGGGTCATGTGCTTCAAAAAGGGAAGGTCTGGGTTTACGTCAGTGGTCCTTGGCAATGGATGAGACAAATCGGCCATCATCCCTCCTATCCTTCGTGAATGCTGCTTGTCAGGCCTTGGCGCAGGATCAGCCGCCCCGACTTCTCTTGCTCTCAGTTCAATGATCCGAATGGCGAAGTATGATTCGGTTGGAGAGAGAACCTTCGTAGCGTGACAGTGTCGTCGAGAGAGAGAGAGAGAGACGGATGGGGGGTTCTGAAGTGAAAGAGCCAGGAGACACCCAGAGAAAGACGAACCTCCCAACCTCATATTTCACGTCCGCTCTGCTCCGCAGTGCTGCCAGGTTAGGGAAGCTGCAGAAGCTCTTTCAACAGGCCTTCAGTCAGGAATGCCTTGTTGGTTTGCCTGCGACGTGCTGAGGACATACATCAATGAGGCAATCACTTGTTCGGCATGCTTGATAGCAGCGCAGGTTTGTCCCGGTCTCGGAGTTTGCACGTTTGACGGCGACACACCCAAAGATGATCGCGCTCGTCTTTTGAAATCATGCCCTTTGACTGCAAGGCAGCTAGTTTCAGCTGCACGTGGGTGGCATTTCTGCTTTTTGACCGCGCAAGCGAGAGATCCATGTCGTCAGCACATACTGCCAGCTTGCCGCAGTTTGCGAAGATTCGATTACGGACAGGCTTCAGCAGAGTCTCCCGACATCTCCTGAAGCATTTTTTTCCAGAGCCAACTCTTCCATCGAGCCCTTGTGTTTGGGGCCTGGGCAGCCTGGAGAGGTTCTTTGCTGGCTGGATCATTGGCATCTAATTGCGTTGTTGCCCGCAAGCTGGTGCTGATGGCAGTGTTGGGCTCATGTTGCCACGTGCATGAAAGACAAGGCCATGTTTTCCTGACCAACCCCGACATGCTCCACTTCACCATCCTAGCTGCGCATTTGCGGTGGCGCCATGTGTGTCAGCCCCAGCATTGAGTTGCACTCTGCAATTTCTGCAGAGCTGATGTGAATGAGAGTGGGCGAATGCGCCGTGGGGGGGGGGGGCTTGCACGGGTGTCAGAAGGTATGACTGGCTTTCCAAGCGAATGTGAGGCTCGAAAACCTGAGATACATGGTGCTGGATGAGGCAGGCTGCGCTCATGTGAGGCTTCGCATGAATTAAGGGTCGTGTCGCAGGCCCATGTCTATCGTGGCAGCTTTGGAGCTCATGTGGCCTTGTTGCTGCGCCGCTTCCGCAGAGTGTCAGTGCCTAAGCTCTCGAAATTTGGAGGGACGAACTTGGAGCACTCTGCGCATGGGCTTGTTTTGATGAGAGGCTAAAGCACTACAACTCGTCGCCTTTGTTTATCGCATGTTCAGCCACCATGTGCAATGCGAGATACTCAGACTTGAGCTCCTAGGGTAGCTATTTCGTGCATGTTTTCCGGAGGCAGGTTCCTTCTTTGCCAAGCTGCTGGCTCTAGAGAGCAGCTGGGTTCCTGGATACTGCATGAGGTCATTCGCATGTCAGAGAGGTCATGAGAACTGCCAAGATTCGGCCTGAAGCTGCACACATTTTGGCTGTTTGATTAAGGCGAGCAGGTGTGTGTTGTGGACGAGGACACGGCTGGACGAGGAGATCGCCAGTCCTCTGGCCTTCATGGTTTCCTGATCACTAGATGCATTGGTCCACGCTGAGGTTCTGCTTGTGGAACCCGCCGCTGCTGGAGGCTGGTCACTGGAGTCAATGTCAGACAGATGGTCAAGCTCAGGTGGATGAAGGTCAGCCAAGCCGAGAGGATCAGAATGCTCGTAAGAGAGCGCGCTATGGCCCGCGGCAAAGCACACCGATTCTTGTAATACTGTTTGTTTGCTGCTGTTTGGTTCACTGCTTGCGATGCCCTTTGATTGCTGCCCCTGAGCTCAGGCGAGCGAGAAGGAAAAGGTTCTGCACCCCGCCTTCCACCGGGAGTTGGAACACGCCTCGGGATGCGGAGCAAGGGGCAGTGCTTGGCGTCAGAAGAAACAAACATGAGTGGCATTGTAGTCTTGCATAAGGGATGAGCAAGACACGGAGCAACATCTCACTTTTCCAAGGGTACCGAACACGAAGCTCATCGTACAACGAGGCTGCCTGGATTGTCTCGCAGGCCGGCTTTGGCTGACTGTTGGTGAGACACTTCAAGAGGCCGCAGAGCGGCTTCCATCTGCATTCCACGTTTGCAGTTCACTTGTTGTTGACTGGCCCCAGGCAGCACGGCGAGGTCACCGCACTGTGTGCTTCCTGCAGGCCCAGAGCACCAGGTGGCGTGGCACGAGCCCGCACACAAGACACACCCACACACCCACATGCACACGGCACACGGCACACTGCACACTCACACCCACCACACTCGCCAAACCACCCCCCCACGTCGCACGCAAGCACGCACATACGCTCACACGCACACACGCACAGACACGCACACACACACAGACACACACACACACAGACAGACACGCACACACACACACAGACGCACACAGACAGACACAGAGACACACACACACACACAGACACACACACACACACACGCACAGACAAACACACAGACACACGCAGACACACACAGACACAGACACAGACAGCCGCCCGCACGCACGCACGCACCCACCCACTCAGCCACGCACGCAGTCACGCACGCACGCACGCACGCGTGCACGCAGACTTGCAAGCACACACGCGCACGCGTGCACGCACACCCACCCACCCACCCACCCACGCACGCATGCACGCACGCACGCACGCTCGCGTGCACGCAGACTTGCAAGCACACACTCGGACTTGCAAGCACGCACGGGCACGTGTGCACGCACACGTACCTGAGCGCACGCGCCTCACGTACGTGCGCGCATCCACACATCCATGCACACTGGCACACAAACACAAAATCACACAAACACACAAGCGCAGAAACATGCCAAGAAACAAAGACCCACACACACACACACATACGCGCACGCACATGCACGCGCACGCGCTTTCGCACGCGCACGCACACGCTCACGCCCACACACACGCAAACGCACACGCGCTTGCACCCGCACGCGCGCGCGCACGCACGCTCGCCCGCGAGTGCAGACACGCCCCCACGCGCGCATTTGCGCACAGGCGCGCACGTGTGCACAGGCGCACCAGTGCGCACGTGCGCACACGCGCGCACACGCACACGCACACGCGCACACGAGCGCACGCACACGCGCGCACGCACACCCACACACACAGGGACACGCAGACATACACAGACACACACACACAGACACACAGACACACAGACACACACTGACACACAGAGTGAAACACACACACACACACACTGACACACACAGTGACACACACACACGCTCACACACACGCACACACACACTCACACGCCCGCGGGTACGCTCTCGCTCACACGCGCGCGCGAATAGAGGCAGGCGCACGCACAGGAGCACGCGTACGCTCACACACACACACACACACACACGCACACGCGCACGCACACGCACACACACACACACACACACACACACACACACACACACACACACACACACACACACACACACGCCCCTGGGCACGCCCGCACACTCGCGCACGCGCGCACACGTGCCCGCACACTCGCGCGCACACGCGCTCTGCACCCACACGCGCCCAGGCACACGCACGCACACACACACACACACACTCGCACTCACGATCACACACACACACCCACACTCGCGCTCAGGCTCACGCTCACGCTCACACTTACACACCCGCGCGCGCTCACACACTCGCGCACGCAGACACAGACAGACAGAGACACGCACATACACAGACACACAGACACACACACACACACACAGACACACAGACACACGCACACACACAGACACACACAGAGACACACACAACGGAGACACGGACACAAAGAGACACACAGAGGCACACAGAGACATACAGAGACAAGGAAGCTGCACACAGGCACAAAGGACAAACCCGCAGACGCGCGCTCGCACGCGCACGTGCGCATGCACCCGCGCTTCGGCTTGCCTTTGCGCTTGCGCTTGCACACACACACAAAGACTTGTGCACTTGCAGTTACGCTTGCACAGAAAAAGAAAAAGAGTAAGAGAGAGAGAGACAGCGAGAGAGAGAGAGAGAGCGCGCGCGCACGCAGGAACCCCCCACACGCACACACAAACACGCACGCGCGCACGCACGCACGCTCGCACGAACGCACGCGCGCGCAGACGGAAACGCGGACACACAGACACGCCGACACACAGAAACACACACACACACAAACACGCGCGCGCAAACACAACCACACACACAAGCACACACACACACGCGCACGCACACGCACGCACACGCACGCACACACGCAGCAACGCACACACGCGCACACGCACGCACGCACGCACGCACGCACACACACACACACACAAACACACACACACACACAAACACACACAGACACACACAGACACACACACAGACACACACACACAGACACACAGACACACACACAGACACACACACAGACACACACACACACACACACACACACACACACACACACACACCCACCCACCCACCCACCCACCCACCCACCCACCCACCCACCCACCCACCCACCCACACCCACCACGCACCACACGCAGCACGCACGCCAGCACGCACAGCACGCACGCACGCACGCACGCACGCACGCACGCACGCACGCACGCAACGCACGCACGCACGCATACCCGCACGCACGCACGCACGCACCACGCACGCACAGGCACGGCCGCACGCACGCCGCCCGCCCGCCACGCCACCCGCCCGCCCGCCCGCCCCGCCCCGCCACGCCGCCCGCCCGCCCGCACGCCCCCGCCCGCACGCCCTCACGCCCGACCGCCCGCAGCCCGCACGCCCGCACGCCGCTACGCCGCACGCCCGCACGCCCGCACACGCCCGCACACCCGCGCACCCGCACCCGCACCGCACCCCCCACCCCCACCACACCCACCCACACCCACACACACCCACACCACCACCCACACACCCACCACACACACACACACACAACACACACACACCACACACAATGCACACACAGCCACACACACAACACACACCCGCCACGCGCGACAGCGCTAATGCATACACGCGCACGCGCACACCCGCACCCGCACGCGCACGCGCAGGCACGCGCACGCGCATTTACTGCACGCGCACGCGCACGCGCACGCGCACGCGCACGCGCGCACGCACGCACGCACGCACGCACGCGCGCGCGCACACGCACACAGAGACACACACACACACACACCCCACGCGCGCCCCACGCGCGCCCCACACGCACACGCACCTGCGCGCACGCGCGCGGCGCGCGCACGCGCGGAGGCTTACTCACGCATGCGCCCGCGCACGCGCACGCCCACACGCACACGCACACGCACACGCGCGCGCGCAAACACACAGACACACACACGCACACACACACACATCGTTGGCATCCAAGACTGCTCTTTCAAGTTCCCGAGCTTCCCCGCCAAAGCATCACTACTCAGGTTAGTGTAGAGAAACACCTATGACAATCGTTGTCAAATATTAAATGCTGCGTGTCATGGCGACAGATACGCACGGCCACAATGTGCGCAAGGTGCGGGCGATGGTGGAAGTCGTGCTTCAGGCCTGCAGCTTCTCCTGACAAAGTGCCAAGAAAAGCAGATCTCTTGCAAGAGGCAGCAAATCAGCACCTGGAAGACCGCCCAGACTTGCTTTGCTCTTGGACCTGATGATCAGAGTGCGTTGCTTGCTTTCACATGAAGGCCAGTGCGTTTCCACCGAGGCAGGGCCGCATTGCTGGATATCGAGGTGGCTATGCTGCCTTGGAGAGGACGGATGCGCTGCGAGTGTTGGGCGCACGCTGCAGAGAGTCAAGAAGCGCAACAAGTCAATCTGAAACAGAAGTGGCAGAGACAAGCTCAACTAAGAAGCCTCGTGGCAAGATAATGCAGATATAGGAGAAAGTAAGTAGATACCGGACACTTAGTTTGAACTTAGTAACTATGCTTTCTCCTAATAGGAAGATATTGGAGATAGAAAAAGATACAAACAGTTTTTTTTTTTTTTTTTTTTTTTAAGAAACAGATAAAAAAAAGATAATGGAGATACAACAAGATACAGAAAACCCGGAAAAAAAGAAAAAACACAGATTAAACCAATGTAAACAAGGTAAACCAGCGTGAAATAACGGAAAATAATTTGTGGGCTTTGTCGAACAAGAACGTGCGATCTCAAGTGGAGCGTGAGCTGTCTCATCTGATGGCACGTGAAACACGTGAGATGACCCTGGACAGCCTATGCTTAGTTGGGATGATGCTGGTGAAATGTTTTTGCTTCCGTGATTGTCTTACCTGCCAACCTGCCAGGCCCTCACAGGCTGGCAAACAAAGAGGGAAAGCCTGGCTTTGCAAAGAAGAGGTTTGGAGCGGGCCGCTTTTTCCACTTGGTTTGGGCCCGTTTCGGGCCGCGCGCTAGGATAAAACAAAAGTTCCCGCCGACAACGTCTGCGACGTTTCGTGATAGAGAGATAGATAGATACATAGGTAGATAGCGAAAGATAGAGAAAGGTAAATAGATATATAGATAGATGGATAGATAGATAGTTAGACACATAGAGAAAGAGAAAGAGAGAGAGAGAGATAGAGATGTGGTTCTAGTTTCATTTATGGTTTGGAGGGGGCCGCTTGTTCATTTAGTTTGGGTAGGCAGTTTGCAGGGGGCCGGTTTTCGTTAGTTTCGGTTGCTGGTTGGAGGGGCCATTTGATTCATTTAGTTTTGGTTGGTAGTTTGGAGGGGCCACTGTTTCCATTTGGTTTGGGTTGCTGGTTTGGAGGGGCCGCTTGTTTCATTTAGTTTGGGTTGGTTGTCTGGAGGGGCCGCTTTTCCATGTGATGTATTAGGGGGGGTTTTCCATTAGTTTGGGGGCCGGTTTTCCATTCGTTTCGGTTGCTTGTTTGGAGGGGCTGTTTGATGTATTTAGTTTGGGTTGGTAGTTTGGAGGGGGCCGCTTTTTCCATTTGGTTTGGGTTGATGTTTGGAGGGGCCGCTTGTTTGATTTAGTTGGCGTTGGTTGTGTGGAGGGGCCGCGTTTTCCCTTTAGTTTGGGTTGATGGTTCCAGTTTCAGGTGGTTTGGAGGGGGCCGCTCTTCCATTTGCTGTAGTGTGGGTTTGTGGTTTGGAGGGGGCCGTTGTTTCATTGGTTTTGGTTGCTGGTTTGGAAGGGCCGCTTGTTTCATTTAGTTAGGGTTTGTTGTTTGGAGGGGCCGCTTGTTTCATTTAGTTTGGGTTGGTGGCAGTTACCCAAGTTGGGTCGCTCAAGTCATGCTTCTTTACTTGGGAATTTTGGCAAACCATATTAAGTCAACATCCAGGGTCACTCGAACCCTAGTTCCTGATTTGGGGAGACCAACAAAGTTCAAAAAACGTTCAAAACACCGGGCCCCAAAGTGATGTTTCTTTACTTGGGGAGTTCAAAAAGTTCAAAAGTTCAAAACACCGGGCCCCCACAGTAATGTTTCTTTACTTGGGGAGTTCAAAAAGTTCAAAAAGTTCAAAATCCCGAGCCCCAAAAGTGTGTCTTTACTTGGAGAGTTCAAAAAGTTCAAAAAGTTCAAAATCCCGAGTCCCAATAGTGATGTTTCTTTACTTGGAGAGTTCAAAAAGTTCAAAAAGTTCAAAATCCTGAGTCCCAACAGCGATGTTTCTTTACCTGGGGAGTTCAAAAAAAAACAAAAAAGATCAAATGCGGTTTTTTTTTGCGCAGTTGGTTTCTTTCAAGGCCTGTCACTGGCCTGCTTGGTCGGCCTGCTGTTTTTCATTGAGTGGGTTTTATTCAATAAAGCTTCCCATTTGTTTGTTGTCTCTAGCTGCAATTTGTTGGGGTGAAGGTGGATTTTTTCCGGGCCTGTCACTGGCCTGCTTGGTGGGCCTGCTGTTTTTCTTGTGGTCTCTAGCAGCCATGTTTTTTTGTGAAGGTGGATTTTGTTCAGGGCCTGCCACTGGCCTGCTTGGTCGGTGACAGGCCCTGAAAAATCCAACTGCGCAAAAGAAAAACTGGCAGCCACACACAACAAGCAAACTAGAAACCCAATGGGAAAAACCCCACTTCAAGAAAAGCAGCAGGCCGACCAAGCAGGCCAGCAACAGGCCCTGAACAAAATCCACCTGCACAAAAAACACTGGCAGCCACACACAACAAGAAAAAACCCACTTCAAGAAAAGCAGCAGGACGACCAAGCAGGCCAGTGACAGGCCCTGAACACAATCCACCTTCACCAAAAAATATGGCAGCTAGAGACAACAAGCAAACTAGAAGCCCCATGGAAAAATCCCACTTCAAGAAAAGCAGCAGGCCCACCAAGCAGGCCAGTGACAGGCCCTGAAAAAAACCCACCTTCACCACAAAATATGGCAGCTAGAGACAACAAGCAAACTAGAATGTAAAAAATCCAACTTCAAGACAGGCCTGCTTGGTCGGCCTGCTGCTTTTCATGGAGTGGGATTTCTTCAGTAGAGCTTCCCATTTGCTTGTTGTCTCTAGCTGCCATTTTTTTCGTGACGGTGATTTGTTTCAGGGCCTGTCACTGGCCTGCTTGATCGCCACGCGCCAGAAAACTTCCATCTGAGTAAAAGAGGCTAAAGCGTCCAAACAATAACGCACGAATAATTCTCAAATGCAATGTTCTTTGCCTAAAATAAAAGCATGTGCTGCCCTATGCTAAATTGACAAAAAAGATGGAAACAAACATGAAAAAGGCTGAAGAACAGATAAAATATTTATTTAAAAAAAGATAAACAAGATCAAACATATAAAAAAGATGAAACCTATATATAAAACAGATAAAAACAAAGAAGATACAAACATATATTATCTTTTAATATCTTCTATATCTTTTGCTAGTAGATGTGTGCAAGATACAAAAACTTACTATATATTTTACTTTCGTGACTAGCTACTCCTAAGTCTACTATATCTCCGGCGGACCATAGCCAAACCTATCTGAGATAAACATGACTTAAACACCAGATAAACAGCCTTATAGCTACATACTATCTTCTATTTCCAAGCTATCTGACTGCGAGGCTTCTTAGAAGTGTTCTGGTCAAGAACTGCTCGTCCCAGAGTTCCAAGAAGCCGCCATGCCTGCCAAACCGATGTGTGATTGTTGCGAGTGGTCTCCTGCTTCCCTGCAAAGAGCTCAGAGCGGCCACTTGGCAGTTGCTTTAGACGCGCTAGAGGTGTCGCTGTCCGGACTGCCCAAGCAGTCCCTTCAAGTTGTTATGAAGCAAGCAAGATATGCAAGCAGCAAAAACAACAGAGTCGGCAGAAGGACGCAAACGTGTTGAACTGATCCAAACATGTAGAACTGATCCGTTCAAGCCATCTTCAAGTGAAAGTGAGATCATGTTGCACCAATGTCAGGTCTCGCAAGTTGGGTGGCGAACAGCGGTCAGGCTTGACACCCCGTCCTCTGGACTAGGTACAGACCAAGATCTTACAAGCAACTCGGGTATGTCCGGCATACTCAAATCAGCTTCGTTCCACAGGTCGCTCAAGCCACTTGGGCCAAAATCAAACCCAGGTAGACGAAGGCTAGAAAGGGAGAATTCCAACCATCAATGGGCGCAGCCGCTTTGTTAATTCTAAACAGTCAGCTTTTGGCTTGCTTTGAGGTATATACTGTGCTTTAGTTTGCCTTAAAGTGAGTGAGTCAGCGTCGAATGCGTGAGCTGGTTCCAAGCTAGAGGGTGGGCGCATGTCCGCGCGATTCCACCTGGCTTCAAGGGCGAGAACGAGAGCCGCAGAGAGCTCCAGAATGGTGGGCCAAATTTCTAGGGGCGTTTGTTTTCGTTTGGGTTTTCTAGGGGGATTTGACCTGTTTTAAGGGGATGTGACAGGTTCTAGAAGGGCTTGGCCAGTTTCTACGGTTTTTAGGCGGGATTTGATTGGTTTCTGAAGGGGGTTTGACCGGTTTTATGGGGAATTTTGCCTGTTTCTAGGGGGATTTTGACTGGAGTTGGACTAGATTGTGCAGGAGGAAGTTGACCGGTTTCTAGCGGGATTTGGCCGGAGTTGAGCCGGTCTTTACAGGGATTTGACTGGGAAATTGGCCAGTTTCTATGACCAGTTTGTACTTGGATCAGGGTTGGATCAGGGAGAATCAGCCGGCCCTGGCACCCGGCTGCTTCCAGGCTTCGCCTCGACCCTTGGGGCCGGGAAGCGGTCAGACCCCTTCAGAACCTATTCGGGATCCCTCTCATCCTATCTCCTCCCTCATCATCCAAGATTTAGAAGATAGAGAAACGGGAGATAGGCAATGAGAGGTAAAAAAAAAGAGATAATGTAATTTTAATTCTGGGTGCATCATTTTAGTATCGGTCGGTTCTAATTAGCGCAGGCGAAAGCTGGAGAGGCGACTCTTCACGGGTGACTTGCTTTGTTGGCTACTCAGATGAGTCTACCAGGCCAGAAATACGAGAATAATCGAATTCAGCAGTGGACCCATGATTTTTTGAGACTGAGTAGGCCCAAGTAGCTTGCAAAGCATTGCGGCACGACTGGGGTAGCTTGCTGCGGCTTAAGTGAAGAAGCGCATGTCAGGTGTTGTCGCTACAAATGCGCTGGAGCATGCCTGGCCTGTTGTTAAATGAGCGACCAGCCAAGAGGTCCGAGCGACTGACACTCCTGGTGCAAACAAAAACTACAAGAGTCATTAGCATAAGAGCATGCCATTCCATAAGACTGCAAGTTGGAAAGGTGCTTCCTTTGAGCCAGGCTTGGTATCGACATTGGCGACCTGGATTTGACGTTGCATGTTGGTGTGCCTCCAACAGTTGCGTTCTAGCCTCAACTTTGCTGCATTTCCCGATGGATTTGCACATAAAACAGGCCAGCCGTGAATCTAGGGACAACCATTTCAGGTGCAAGCTGCACCAAGCTCACAGCACCTCAAACCTTTAGTCCCGGTGATCTCCAAGGTCTGTTTGGCAGCAAGCTGGTCGCGCAGGTTCGTGTTCTTGGCTGCCCATGGAATCCAGCAATCGTGAAGCTTCTGTTCTGAAGGCCGGCGTGGGCGGCCATCTGCGGCGATACTGATTGCTATGGCTGGACCCCGAGAAACTGGTGGAGACAACGCAAGCATGATTTGCTGGTGCTCAGTAGGGAATGAGAAATGGAATGACCGGGTTCATTCCCACATTCCCTAGAGAACTTTGTCACAGCCAGAGTCCTAAGGATGCTCCCTTGGAGCAGCACTTTTGTCGACATCCTGAAGAATTCTTCTCGCAAGGCTGCCATGATTTAGCTTATTCTGCTTAATGAGAAAAGCCAGGATAATATGAGAGACATGTTCCTCACAGCCTATCCAAGAGCAGTAAGTCTGTAGGCAGCTGTGCTTGCCAGGCGTTCTATTGAGGCCTGTCGTGGCTGTGTTGAATCTTGTCGCTGCGCGAGCATTGAGCTGGCAATCCTGCTAGAGTTGTGTATTCAACATCTGAAATGTGCAAGGTTGTAGTCATGCTCACTCTTCGGGGAAGACCTGAAATGCGGACTTGTTGGTGCACTGATCCACCATTTCAAGTTGTGCAGCTTCGCGCTGTGAGGCCCGGGTCCCCGACACGTCCAACGAGCTGTTGCTCAAGGCGGGGAATTGTCCAAGGCGCACGTGTCGTGCGCTCTTGCAAGTGCCAGCTGTGACAGGGCCACATGCTTTGCGCGGCAGCAGAGCTTACACCCTTGTCCGAATCGGATGCCCAGAGGCACCAGGGATGCAAGGGCAATCGCCTTCTTGTACCGGCAATAGCTTTCTTGCATTCTTGTATTTGTTGTCGCTCCACTCATGCGACCTGCTGGCTCCAGGAGGTGCAAGGGTCACACAGCAAGAGTCCACGGGATCATTCAAGCACAGAACTCTCAACAAGTAATATGTTCCTGCACAAACCATGGTTGTCCATTGGTGTCAAGAGAAGTAGTTCCCTGACCAAAGAGCAGTACCTGGGAAAGGCTGACTGACCACTACGTGTCCTCGTGCTGTCGTTGTTCATCCTTTAAATGAAATCGAGGAATGGATGTCCTGTGGAAAAGTTGAGTGTCAGATCTACAGCTCGAAGCAACGCCATGGCGTGCATGGTGTAGTGTGGCCCGGTCATGTCACTGGGTCGCCTGGACCGAGTTGGCTCCCTGCTGCTTTCAGTGGATGACCAGAGCCTGCTAAGCGCAGGCCCGGCATGGCGCAGGCGCACTCGCTTGGAATTCAGCTCGCGCCAGGTCGCAGCCAAGGGGCCTCTGTTACTCGCAGCCACAGCTTAGGGCAAAGCATTGCAGATGCGGTTCGTTTGTCACTGGACCCAGCACCAGGACAGCGATTTTTTTTTAAATATTTTTGCAGCATGATCAGCGTATACATGGCAGGCGTGCTGGTGTTTTGTCGGGAAGACTCCCAAGCAACACAGCCCGCGCAGGAGCTATAGATAAAACTGCAGTTTGGGGCCTCTACTGCATGTACGCCATTGTCGGCTTGTTGTATGGTTTTGTGTCCAACTACATCAACATCCCGATTTGCCAATATGTATTTGGCCCTTTGGGAGAACCAGGGCGAGCCTCGATCCAGCAATGCAATATCTCCGTAGCCTGGCTGAGTTGGTGCTGCAGCTATGCTAGCATTGGCGTGCTTTAGCAATTTGGAGGGCTAGGCCGGCTTCAGGGCTTGTGTCTGTCTGATTCCGAAGACCAATTCTTGAGGTCCGATTCCCCCATGGCCCGCGCTCCGCCACACCACCAGAACATTCCCAGAATTTCATCCTCTTTGACATGTTTTGAGCTGGGGAGTCTTTTTCATTAGATTCTGGTCCAAGTTCGGGTCTTAATGACTCTCTGGGTGTGCATTCAAGGTCGCACCCGCCACTCAAGTGCTAATATGCCGAAGTGCTTTGGACGGCCGCTGCTGCTGCTTCTGCTGCTGCTTCTGCTGCTGCTTCTGCTGCGATTGTGCATGATTGCTGCTGTGAATGTTTAACCCCAACAAGCAAGCATAAGCCTTGAGCCGTGAGGTGTCATTAACACAGATGCCCTGGAACTTCAAGATCTTCTATGGCTTGTTCCTGGACCGCGTGTCGTTCTTCGGATCTCGGCGAAAGGGATGGATCGTGTTCGGCTGGTCGGCCTCGCTGATCATCCTGGCCTCCATGGCGCTCTTGGCGCAAGACTTGGCCGACGAGGGCAAGTTCGCCACGTACATGATGCTTCTGATGGCTCGAGGCCTAGAGCGCTAGCCGAGCTGCCAGATCTCAAGCAAGGCTGTGCGCAAGGCGAAGGAGGCAACGTTTTGCACCGCAAAAAAATCCGCAACATCATGTTTGGTCGTTGAGAAGCTGAGAGCTGAGGTCATGTGTTTCTTTTACATCTTCTCGGACGTGGCTGGCGATGGGATGACGATTGAGCTCAGCAAACTGGAGCCCCCCGAGACCAGAGGGTACATCCTGACAACGGGGCAGATGCTCGGATTCGATCGGTTCAGTGGCCAACCTGCACAGATCTGCACAGGGTTGGTTTGTTTGGAGTTGTTCAGCTGGCTTCAAGGATGGTACGCTTTGGGGCGACAACAGTGACGAACTTGCGCTTTGGATGCAGACAAAGCCAAAGCCAGCGGCTCTGTTGAAACTCAAAAGCCAAGGCTGGGCATCCTGGGAATGAACGGCAGCTACTACTATCCTCCCAGTAGAGGACGAGCCTGCTGGCTAAACGCATCGCTTCCTCATGCGGGCTCAGTTGTGCTGAGTCCGTTAGCGACATGCAAAGGCTGCGAATGACACGGTCTTTCCCTTCGAGCTGACCTTCGGGGAGGTCCACATTGCGCTGGTGCTGCTGAGCTTGCCGCTCCTGGTTCTTATGATCATTTTGCTGCAGGACCAATACGTCATGTGCTGGACGTACCTCTCGTCATTCAGACTGCTCTCCAGCTTTCATTGCAGGATCCCCCACAGCAGGCAGTTGAATCGCACAGTGCCAGCGAGGTCATGAGCGTGATGTGGAAGGCCTGCGAAATGTAGGTGTTGGCACCATACGGCCCCATTCGCAGTTGCCGGCATGGACGCGGAGTGAATGCAGCTTCGGTCAGGTCATGCAGACAAAGGTCATGTTCTTCCTGATCACGTTTGCCTTGGGCGACTCGGGCACAAGCATCCTTGGAAGAGTGACACTCTGCATACGCCGCTGACATTGCGAGCCTATGAGCTTGCTGCCTTGCCAGCTTATGAGATTCGATCTGCTGGTAGCTGCTGTTGATGTCACTGTTGGTTGCTTAACATTGCAAGCTTATGAGATTCAAGCCACTTGCTGCCTTGCAAGCTTCTCAGATTCAAGCTGCTGGTAGTTACTGTTGACGTTGTTGATGTCACTGTTGCTGTTGAAATCAAGGCAACATGGCGATTGCTAGCTTGCTCAATCCTGCTCAGAGACTTGGCCTCCTTTAGTTTGTTTCCTTTTTTCGCACCGTCCATAGACTCAGATGTGGAGCACAGGAACATCATTGCCTTTATCGCGGCACCATCTACGCTGCAGAATTCAGCCACTGCCTCGGAAGTAGACAATATATTAGCATATGTGATCGGCATGATTGAATGCAGGTTGGCACCCTCGCCGGGAATGCAATGTTTCTTTTAGGCCTGAAACTGCATGCGCACACGCTGGGTTAAAGCTTGCCGATCCTTATGACCTGAACTTGCCTCGCACGACAGGCGTATTCTTGTTCCGCAAGTTCTTCATGACCCGCAATTGGCGAATGACCTTCGTGTGGACAACATTCCTACTTGCTCTGAACAATGGCTTCCAACTCATGGTCATCTACAATGTCTCTAAGCTGCAATACATTCAAGATGCAGTGCATCGCATTCGAACGCGTGGGCTTTGTCAGGCATGGGGTGTTGGTCAAGATGGCTGGTTCTACGCTTTTGGGAGCCTCTGGGATGCATTCAAGATCACTAGCAAGACATGGCATTCGTTCCAGACTGACAGGCAATATCCTGATGATCATCCAGGGAATCGCCCAGGTCTTGTCCAGCCTGGCGGTGGTGGAGATTTCTCCAGCAGGATTTGAGGCATCAGTGCAGCCGCCTCAGTGAGATATGGCTGACTGGGCATCACAGAATTTGAGCAAAGTGTCTCAGGTATGAGTTCCTGACCAGCATCCACAATGCCGGTATCACGCTGAACTCAAACCTGCAGAACCTCTTTGTTCCAATCTTCAACCTGCATGGCATTTCCCAAGACTATTTCCCGACGAAGACGAACCCGAATCCTCCGCAGCACATCTACAACACGCGCATGGCTGATGCCACCTACTTCACGCGTCCCGGCTGCAGTAGCCGGTGCCAAGGGCGAGACTCCGAGACGTGTGCATTGAGGATGGCGGTGAATTTGGTTGGGGCACTGGTGTTTTGCTGGTTCCTACCACAGCAGAAGCATCAGTGCAAAGAATGGGCAGAGGACATAGAGCAACCAGCCAATGCAAGTCTTGAGAGAGTGGCAATGCTGCGCGTGCCCATATCAGTCGCAATCAAACCCGGGTAGTTGGAAGGGTAGAAAGGGATACTCCCAGCCATAAGTGGGTGCGGATACCCGCCTTTTCAATTCTTGAAGCATGGTTCTGGGATCGCGGCCATTTCCGGATTTTGAGTATGGGTCAAAATTCAATCACCAGGAAAAACCCACAGGTTTAATTTCATGTTTTCAATTTTCCAGGGCAAGCCATTTTGGGGTTGCCCTATTTTTGACAACCACACTCCATATGTGTTCAAAGTTCTTCTGCAGGACTCGTGGTGGAAGCGCCCGTCCATTGGCTTCTTCAACGTGATACTCGGAGGCTTGATTCCAAAGGAAGCCACACATCCCATGGCTCGCCCGCTTAGGTGGAGTACTTGCCTTCTCCGTGCTGGTGTCCCTGCTCAGCGCATTTCCCGCAACAAACTGCCCAACACTAAGACTCGGAGTTCTCCAGGTTTTTCTTTTCTTTTTTTCTCTGAAAAGCAGGGAGACTTGCTGAGGCCTCAAGATTGCTGGTGGTCCTGGCTGCTGACCATGAAGCGGACCTCCCATTCCTTGATATTACTTGATCTACTTAGGTCTTAATTAGAGCTTGAGCCACAGGCGCTTGGCTTTGGGCTCGCGGGAGAAAAAGCCACTGGGAATCGGGAGGGAGCCTTGAAGTCAAGGCTTGGGGTGGGCGGATTGGATTGGTTTGAGGATTGGAACCCCCGGCTTTGGTAGAGGGTAAATGGAAACCACCCCTTCACGCCGTCTGAACTTGGCGCCGCAGGTGGTTTGGAGATGTGGCTCGCGTGCAGGATGAGCTTGCGGCTGAGACTTGCCGCGGCATCGCGCAAGCAGAAGTGGGGTTGGCTGCAGGCTGATACGCGAGGGCCGCCTCGTGGCGCAGCCCGTCAAGCCCGGCGGCCCGCAGGCGCATCGAAGAAAGGACGGAAAAGAAGAAAGAAGGAAGAATAAAGCATGAGAAGCAGGAGTTGCAGCTGAATCTACTTCTTGTGTCAAGCCATTTTGCTGAGATTGGTCCGCTGCTACGAGTGACGCAAGGCAGCGACGGTGGCGTGGAGAGTCCATGATGTCTCTTTGCTTTGCATTGTGCAGGAAAAGGTCGGAGGCCGCCCAAGGAGGAGGTGAGCCTGCGTGATATTGACCCCATTCAGTTTCAGGCAGGCCTGAGTGCATGATGCGCGGATGTCAGGCGACCCAAATCGTCAGTTGGCCACTTGGGTTCCCTACCTGGCTTAATTTGGGTTACACAAATACCTACATAGATCTAGATCTGCCTACATATCTCTTTACAACCCATATACATCCTTACCATGTTACCAGAACCAAACGCCAAAGGCTTTGGGCGCTCAATTGCAGGTGGTCGTTCGTGGGAACATCAGTCCACTGGAGACGCGGATGCCCCAGGCTGCGAGGCTGCATTCGCGTATGAGTGGGCAGTCATTGAGGCTGGATCAAAAGCTGGCGTTCATGCGATTGCATCCTGGAGCCATTTACCTCAACCAACAGGCGGGGTGGTTATGACAGTTATGACTCACTGTGAGCAAAGGAGCGAGGGTGCTTTCGGTCCCGCTTTTCGGTCCCGGTGTTTTCGCATTAGACCTCGTACTTTGTCGAAGAGCTGGACCTGACCAAGAAAATCGCGTAGGACTCTCGATGCTTCCGGAAAACCTTACCTTGTTCTTTTTGTTTCAGGTGGGTCATTCCTCGAGACTCCAAGAAGATTGACTACTACACGGAATGTAGCGCCGGCCTTAAGCTGAGCGGAATGTGCTGAAGGCCGTCCTCCTTTCAACAGCCGCATGGGATTGGATGGTAGGTAGTACGTGCCGCTTAGCCTGGGCCAAGAATATTTATTCGCTGATGAGTTCAAGCATCATCAGCATGGTACATGTGCATCCTGTTCCGTTCCGTATTTGCTTGTTCTCAGCTCCATCACGCTGTGTTGATAATTTGTACAGGAGCTGCTTAGAGCCTTTAGGTCTTGAGAGCTTTTTTCACATACTCGCAGTTGATCAATTCTAAAATTGAGGCCACTCGCAACTGGGGTCAATGTTGTCCGCAGAGCATGGTGAGCTGCTTGCATCGACGTCGCACCAGCTTCATGGCTGTCATTGGTGTTTGAAGACAAACACACTTGGCAGACAGGCCACCAACTGCATGTCGCGTGCGGAATGTGCCACGCATGCAAGTAGGAAAACAACGAGAAGAAACCAACAAAGAGCGGGCCTGCGTGTGCTGTTGCATGCAGCAAGGTCTTACATTGAGCTCAACGAACAGGAACAGTTTACTCAGCCATCGGGGAACATGCTGTAACTGACTCACTGACTGCAAAACTGCGTGGCGTTGCAAGAAGTGTGGCACTTGAAGATGTTGCGACTTTTGCGTTATGCACTTGGAGCGCTTCCAAGGAGAGCATTCCGCCATCATCCTGGCTGGTGGAGGTTTGGCGCGGCCCTCAGACCTTTGCCAGTGGCCAATATATTGCATTTCAAAAGCCTGCAGTGAGCCTCATGAGGCAAGAGCAGCAGTCCTGCCCCTTGCACAGCAAGTCAGGAGCTTGGGAGGACAGCCAAGAATTCCGGCTGTGCGAATTTGTATGCACAGGTTTCGCCCGTTTTCTCGCTTTGGAATGCGGGGCTCAAGGGTATAGCTGTGGCTCAAAAACATGTACCAAAACGGCCCCTTGGTAAATGGAACCAAGGACTAAAACCTGCGTAACCCTGGCTTGCTAGTTTTGAGCCACACCCGTATCGCCTGCCATGGATTCCGAATTGGGGCTGAAGGAGGATGTGTCCTGGTCATCGAAGGAGTACCAGCAGTATGAGCAGGAGTCGCTCGAGTCAAATCAGACGATGCCGGGGATTGGGCAGTGAACAGGGCCCTACGGGCCAGTTGTGGCCCGTGTGGATGCAAGTCATTTTTTTTTGCAGTGCAACTGCAGGTGCAGGCACCAAAAGCATTGGCGCAATTGATTGTCAAGTTGAGGTTCAAAATCTACGCCCAGGAGAACCTGCGCAATCAGATGGCAGATGAAGACTTTTCAATCGAACAACATGAGGACGCATCATCTCGCTGACGAGAGAAGCTTGTGGAGACTTCTTTAGGTCACACAAGGCCGTGGCACTTCAGCAGCTTCATCCCAAGTCCAAAGCCATGAGGTATGGGCTGGCGCGAGATGTATTCCGTTTATGTTACTCGTTTCTTGAGCCAAGCCTCGCAGACTTGGGAAAAATGCTCAAGTTGAAGCAACAAGACGGGGTATCAGCTCTTCCTGTCTTTTCTGGTGCGGTCCGTTGCCAGGACCCCACAGTGCTGCCAGCAAAGCTGCAAGAGCTGCTGAGTATGTGGCAGAGAGCGAGACATGTGGTGATCTTCACTGGTGCAGGCCCTGCTTCAGAGCGCTAGAGTTTTTTTTGCAGCAATGCTCCGGCTGATTCTTTACTGATCAGGGTGGGATGAAGGGCTTCATCCCCACTTCTGCAGTACAACGCGGGGTAGTCATTGGGAAGCCCTTATCACAGAAGTGGTCATTTTCCACAACCCTGTTACTGCTGCAAAGTAAATACCTTAGATGTCTAAATCTGTGGAACTGAAGTTTGAAGGCCAAGACACGTCCATTGTCAGCCTGAGTCTCAGGCATCAGCACATCAGCAGGCTTGCCGGATTACCGCGGATGCTCGGAAGCATGCGGCACCTGTTTTGCTTTCCGCACATGATCAAAACACACATTCATGGGTTCCTGCCTTTGCCAATCCCTCGGCAATCACTGTTGGTATTCCGATCAGACAAGGCCCGCATGGTGTTTGGACAAAGAAGCTGAAAGGCGAAATCGTCAGCGATCTGGAGCTGGATCCCTTGGCGCTTCAGCCAAGCACTGCACATGTGGCAATTGCCAGATTGTGGCGCAAGGGGTTCCTTCAGTTTGTGGCGACCACGAACGTGGATGGATTGCACAAGAAAGCTGGAGTGGCTGCAGAGAGTCTGGGGGAGTTGCATGGCAACAGCTTTCTGGAGGAATGTGAGACGTGTTTGCAAAGGTTTGAGCGCGGATTCGCGGTGCGAACGGCTCGAGGCCTGTTTGACCACCGCACAGGCAGGCTTTGTGACTGTGGAGGCCCTTTGCGGGACATCATCGTGAATTTTGGAAACACCTGCGATCATGTACCGTCCATGGAGGCGGCGCATGATGCAACCTGGGTTCAATGCTTAAAGGCTGACTTGGTGGTGGTTCTTGGAAGCAGCCTCAGTGTGCCGACGGCCTGCGACCTGCCAGAAGAGTGCTTGTGCTCACGAGACGGAAAACCAGCCCCTTGCTCAGCATTGATTTTGTCTCATGAACTGTGCCCCCGCAATATGACAACTTCACAGGCAAATCGGTAAGATTTGACAATCATGCTTCTACTTTCAATGCCACTCATTGCTGAGCGGCGAGCAACAGCACTTTTGGCCGTATTGGCAGGGTACTCTACTCGCTGGTTGCCACTACCAGATTCGTGCTTATGTTGGGAGGGCATGAGCGCCACCCAGGCTTCCCAAGGACACCCAACTCCCTTGCGTCTATTCGGAGGAACAAGCAGACTTTGATGTGCGTCTCAAAAAAGCACGGTGACAGAAGCAGAATAACTAACCCTTCTTTGCGTTCACCTGTGTGTTTTTGCTCGCAGCTGAATGGACTCTGGAGGACGGTGGGCAAATGGTGATCGTCAACCTGCAGCCGACGCCGAAAGACCACTTGGCCGCCCTAAAGATCTCTGCCCCTTGTGATGAAGTCATGGTGCCATGGCAAAGAAACACACCCACAATTTTGCGGCCATTTGGGGATTGGTCAAAATTAAACCACCAGGAAACAGCAGATTTTGTGTTTCCACTTGCCAGGGACCCATTTTCGGTGCATATGTTTGACCCACAGCGATTTCAAGGATGTAAAGAGTGTCCCCTTCCTTTCATTCGATATAGGCGAAACGGATACTGGGGGCAATTGGAGTGGAGCCAATCCTCAACAGGTCAACAGGCGCTGCTTCAGGGGATTAACTGCGGTTTGCGCAGTTCACGGCACCGTCCTAGGCATTCGTGGAGAAGCACTTGTCCAAACCCTGATTTACCTTGCCAAGTGGCAGGCGGATCAAACCTGTTCAGTGTACAGTAGGTTCTGGGCAGCTGTCTCCGGAAAAAGAAGAAGAGAAAAAACAGAGCAAAAGAGAGAAAGAGAGAGAGAGAGAGAGAAAGATGGACAAAGAAAGACACTTGATTCATGATGTATGCAGTTTCCACATTTGTGTGTGGACGCAATAGTATGCACAAGCACCTTATGCAATGCCCCTTCAGTTGTTTTAAAGTAGTTGAACTGGAAACCGCGTTGAGGTCTATCCTTCGATTCCAGCCATGGAATGAGAGAGAGCTGTATACTTGTTGTGAGATCTCAGCTCTGACGGCTCGGCAATCAGCGCGGGCTCGGTCACCTGCAGAGTCTATCAGTGCAGTCGGGGTTGGACATTGTTTGTTGTTTACGTAGGTGAGCCACGTAGAGATGTTTGATGGTGGTGGTCGTAAGATGTCATAATGTGATGTGAGGTAGTGCTTCAGGACACGTTGTGGTGGTTCGATTGGTAAGTATTGTGTAGCCGTAGCCATAGCGTTGGGGTGGATTTGATCAGTGTCAGTGTCACGCAAAGTGATTTGTGCGCGTGTTCGGGATGCCCAGTGATGGTGATGAACTGGCTACAACCGAGCCTTTTCCTCCTACTTCGCCCAATACTCTGTCCAGCTCACTCGCTCTCACCGCAGCCGGCATCACAGGTCTTAGTGTACAAGGCACTCGGCTGCGCTTCAACACCCTCACAATCTAAGCTTCCCCGCTAAGCAGCAACTCCAGACAAGGTAACAAGGCATCGTGTGGCTTGTAGGAGAGTTGAACTTTGTGGTTGTGGGAAGGGAAGGTTGAAGCGCAGTTCGTCGATGGTACTCATGGCAGGTTGTTTCGGGGTGTGTTGTGAGAGGGCTCCTCCAGAGTGAGCGCTGTCCAAACGTAAAGCTACTGGTAGTCTGATCAGTTGGAGCCTGCAGCGGTCTGCTGTGGTATAGGGTAATCTGGAAACTGGTGATGGTAGGTGTGATTTTGGTGTGTAGATGCTAGGTGGCTGTGCTTGAGCAGAAGTGCTATCAAATTGTTGTTGTTTCTAGTTTCATGGGTCCGCGATAATGTCGAGGAAGTGTTCGACATTGCCCGCTACCACATAAAAAGACTTCACAGCTTGAGACCTGTTTGTGCAGTTTGAGTTTATGTAGCTTCAACAGCTCTGCGTCTGAAGTTATAAGCTCAACGCCTGCTGCAGTTTGACAAGAGCGATAGAGAGAGAGAGAGACAGAGATAGTTGTACAGATGCGTCTGTCAGAAAAGCAATCATCGAATTATACCGTGGGCAGCTGCCCGACTGCAGTTGTTTTTGTTGCTTTGGGAGGCTTGATGATATGATTCCCGTGGCATGATATGACCCAGGCCAGCAGTGTGCCGCTAATACGCAGTGGGCAAGCCACTGTGCACTGGCCGGGGTCTTGAAGGAGTCGGATTCGTCTGCGCAAGACATCAGAGGCGCATGTATGGCTTCCGCAAGAAGTCGAAGCGCGACCACAATTTGCTGGCTCCAAGCTTAAAGCTCAGCTGCAGCTCATGCAGGAGAGAGAGCTTTATCCTGCGTGGCACAAATTCTGCTCATTTGGCAAGTAAGGATCAAGTTGACCTCACACTTCCAGCAGTCCTGATCTTAGACTAAGCCGGTTCACTGGCCCTCCGCAGCTTTTGCACAGCATGCTTGCATCGCAGGGCCACATGTGTTGTCAGGTTGAGTTCCCGACGCGTGCAACCTGGATGGATTTACCAGGGGCAGTTCTGCAGCCCATTGCCCAGGCTGGAAGAAATTGACCAGACAGCTACTCGAAACGCGCTGTGTAGCTCTTGAACACACACACACACACACACACACACACACACACACACACACACACACACACACGCATTGGACATACGTGTGTGGCCGATCTTTCACGGTCTTCCATGTTGACAACAAACATTATGCATGAGGACTTTGCGATGGTTACACTAATCAAAGTTGGATGCGCGTTGTGCAGCAGTTTCAATAAGGTGTTTGTCGAGGCTGGTGTTTGTTTCAAGCTAATTTGTTTTTGCTTCCAGCCATGCCAGCCTAAATCAACCCGGAGTTCATCCTGCACCAACCCTCTTGGACGATAAGCAGCGTTAAACCAGCCCTCAAGCGCACTCCAAGCCCACTCCAAGCACTAAATCAAGCCTCAACCATCCCTAGGCGCACCCATAACCAACCCAACGCCCATTCTGAACCAACATTTATTGCCCTTTACCCACCATAAACCAAGAGAGAACCAAGCCAGCCAGGGCCAAGGCTAAACCAGCCATGCCGAAAGCGCTACCTTTGCGCGATGCAAGCCTCTCAGGAGGGGCATTCCGTTGATCGGGGTGGCCTTCACGCACTTGAGCACGCGACGGGCCAAGCAATCAATCAAAGACAAGCGTCATCCGATCGAGCCAAGTGCAGAGCAAAATGGCTGGTCAAAACTAATGGGATCCCATTTTGGGGTAGGTGCACCACCCATGTTAGTCTATTTTAGTGGGGATTGGGATGTTCACTGGGGATATGGGCTTTTGACCCATGGCCAAATATGCGAGCTGGCTGTGTTGTACACCCTGGCATGGTGCGCACACATGCGACATGGCAACAAGTACAGTCTTAGGCAATGATGGCCATCGCACCGCTGTGCTGCGACATCGAGGTGCTGCAATTTTGGTTCGATTTGGTACCGTTCCTCCAACTAACGTGGCACCTGTGTGGGAGGTACCTGGAAGATTCATTTAAGAGCCCCTGTCAGTTGCCATGTTAGTTGGAGGGAGGGTAGACTTGTGTGACGACAACGTGCAGCCTGTAGCACAGGTCAGCGAATTGTCATGCCAGCACACCCGAAGAGATTCCGATCCTAATCGTCATCCTGGCATGTCTCGAGACAGCTGCAAACAACTCACCTGTATGTTGAGACACAATCATACCACATTCGAGGCTACTTTCTGCTTTTCTACGAAAATCAGAAAGGTGGCTTGAGACTTATATCCTTCATGCGAGCGGATTCAATGACAAACACTCAAATAAATCAGTGCTTCTTGTGGGTTGAAAGGCTCGGGAGCTGCAGAGAAGATGTACAAGAGCAGCTGTGCTGCACTGGCAAGCCCTTTTCGGCTCGTTTATTGCGATGGAAAAAATGCTCAGGTTGGGAAGAGCTGCTTGCTCAAGCTTTCCGGCTCATGCAGGAGGGGGTGATGGTGTAAAGATGTGCAAAGCCTGATTTTCGGTGCCATCATTTGGAAGCTGGATTGAAGTTTCAGCTGGAGTGTAGTGCGGCCAGGAGTGCTCTTGTGACAAGGGCTGCCCCAACTGCATCGTGGCACGGCCAGAGAGAGCTTGCATATCATGCATGGTTTGATGTTTGCAAGTAGTTGGGATTCGTCGCTCTTGTTCAGAGGGAACTGAATGCTGCTCTTGTTCAACTCGATGCGTGTCCCGAAGTCCCAAATGAACTTGCGCTTGGGATATAATATGTGTTGGGTTGGCAGCCCTTGCGGGCTTGTGCTTTCTTTCGCAGATCTCCGGCTGTGGCGACTACAACCATGGTGGGGAGCTTGGAACAATATGACATTCAAAGCGCTCGTAGTCATACAATGGCGGCACTATGGGATACTGTGAGTCACTATGAGTCTATGAACTTTGCTTCAAGGCCTTGACAAGGCTGTGGCTCTCAAGATTGGTCGTGGCCCAATGACCACCGCTGGCACGCACCCGATCTCGGACCGCCAAGGCAAAGCCCTGGGCTACGGAACTCAGAAGGTGAGCCGCCTGGTTCTTTTTTAATTCCTGTTTGAGTGGCTCGTCCTTTTCGAGGGTGCCTCATTTTTGGTTCTTTTACCGGAGAACCAAAAGGAAACCACAGCATTTGTTGGGCGCCCCTAGAAAAAGACGCGTCATTTTCTTGCGCTGGAAGCATGGGTGCCGTGTGCCTCGCTTCAAAGTCTCCAGGGAAACGCGGCGCCTCCACCGTCCCTTGGCATAGGTCTGAAGAGCACCCGACAGCTTGCCGAAATGGTGGCAAGGTCGGAGCAGCCGCAGGGCTTCGGTCGGCGCTTGAATGGTGAAGGACCCGCTTTTTTGTGGTTGTTTTTGTTTCGCCCCGAGAGTTTCTGAGATGCATTGCAAGGAGCAAAGATATGCTTGGACCTTGACTGACAAGTGCGAGCTTGACGGGGACAGGCTTGGTATTGCCTGATTATGGGCCTTATGGGTCACCGTTTCTGTGCTAGAGTCGGTGCTGTCAGCAAGGGGGGTTGCTGCTTGCGGGGAAAAGGTGCACAAACCAGGAGAGAGAGAGAGAGAGAGAGCCCAGATGAGAAGATTGCAATTGTAATTCATCTTTGAGCCTTAGCGTCATGTTTTCGTTAACGAAGCTGGATGGCTTTAGCGCAAGCAAGCCAATGTACATGAAGGCAAGCCAAGCCTGGCATGATTGCATTCAGGTGAGGATGTGCCTTTATCATCATTCTAATGTCGTATCGTTGTATTTTGCCGCGAGCTGCTCTGAGTTGTTCACAATTTACAGACATGGGTGTGTGTCAAAATTGGGCGACCTCACAAACTGCTGGTCTTCCCTTTGAAACCCACCCGAAAAGGGTACCCTCAAAAAAAGACACACCCGCATGTTGGAAGCATACTTGTCCAGAGCCCTTTTTTCTCAGAATTCAGAGCATTTGGCTGGAAGCCTCAAACAACCGAGTTCGAGTCTCGCAGTAAGCTCTTCAAGCTGCCATGAGCGCGGCATGCTGGCGCAACTTCATAGCAACAGGCGCGGGACACACAGGCCAAGCGGGCTGTTGCATCTTTGCTTGTTCTTTGCTTCACCGAAGAGAACCGAAGCTTGGAGGCCTGCCGAGCTCTTTGTCTTTGCTGACGCTTTTGGAAGATGCCGAGGACAATGTCATGATGCGTGTTGTGCTGGCTCTGCTTGAACTGCCAACTGCCAGGCCCGGCGCTTCTTGCTTCTGAGCGCGGCCTTTGTTAGCAGCGCTCTTGCAAAAAGTTGTCATACACGGCCCTAGACACGAGTTTGGCTTGCATTCAACTGCTAGAAACTGAAATCGATGTTGGATATCGGTTGGTACTGAATCGGAGCATCATCAAACATTGCCAGATGGCTGCAAACCACCAAAGGCATCATGCAGATCAGCGCGATCATCGAGGAGTATATTTACGCTTCTAAGTCGAACTGAGTACTTGTGGCGATTTGACTTCCCCGCATCAAAGCTCGTGGATGTTTCGGAGCTTGTGTCATGATACACCTGCCTGCGGAAATTGCCAATCTTAGGTGGAACTGCCAGGCTTCGATGGCTTCTACTGGACCGTGGCATTGGTGGAGCTGGCCATTTTCGCGATCTCTGCTTGGCTGGCACGGTGGAAGGACTGCAAAGGCAGATCCCAAGGCCCAAACGGCCGGAGACCTGCACTTGATGGCCAACAATTGGCTGTGGATCAAAACCAATGGGATCCCATTCTGGGGTAGGTGCATGACCCATTCAAGTCTATTTTAGTGGGGATTGGGATGTTCACTGGGGGTACGGGATTTTGACCCATGGCCCATTGATCGTTTTCGCAGGAGTTTGGCCTTTTCGGTGCCCTACGACAACCAGTCGTGGCACCTGAGCTTGAAGCAACCGCCGGTCCGACAGAGCCGTCTCACCACGCCAGGCGCCTATGAGGCTTTACGTGGCCATGGCTGTGCTACTGGGCCTATCGCAGGGTCTGGGAAAGGTCACCTTCAGGCGCCGCTCGCGTTCGGGGGGAGATTCTATGAGTCAAAATTAAGCAGGGGACCGCAGGATTTAGTCCTTGGTTCCATTTACCTGGGTTCCATTTTGGGTATCGATTTTTCACCCACAGCCCTATCAGCGGTTTAAGTGGTGCTTAAGGCAAACTGACCGTTGTATATCCGGAGGTACATGAACTACGCCACGAATACCATCATTAAGAGTGCCAAGCTGGTGCCCACTCTGCTCATCTCGGCAGCCATCTCAAAATCAGGGAGCCGTTCGTCAGAGTCACCGGGCCAGCATGCGCCGGACACGTTGGGCATGTGTTCAGGTGCTTTGGTTGAGACGAAAGATCTCCCTGCCTGAATGGGCAGCTGCAGTGCTGCTGGTTACATCCACTGCGCTCTTCTCCCTTGGGGAGAAGGAAGGGTAAGAGACAGATGGCTGTGGGTCAAAACCAATGATACCATTTTGGGGTAGGGTAGGTGCACAACCCATTTGAGTCTATTTCAGTGGGGATTGGGATGTTCACTGGGGTCTAACCGGGCGTTTGACCCATGGCCAGATCGCAGCGTATGCACTTGGGGCTGATTGCACAGCCGCATGGCTTCCAAGCGTTCGCTTGGCCGCCAGGCAGCGACACCGAGTTTCAATCCGGCAGGCCAAGTGCACCCTGAAAGCTGAGAATGCAGTACGAACTGCCTCAAGATTCACAAGCCAACGTGGTCGCACTACGTTTCACGACTCTTTGCATCGCAGGCTTGGGTATTGCTGCCGTGCAGCTGCTGTTTGCAGCTTTGCAAGGCAACCTGCAGGACAAATGGCTGTGCACTGCGCATTAAGCATTGATGCGTCGAGCTTGTTTCAATCGTCCCGGTTGGCTTTTGACGGTCTGTGCGAGGAAAAGGCTCTCAAAGATCATGGAGCCCCTATCAGCGAGGTGCGGTGTATGCGTTGTTTCTAACCAGTATCACGCGTTGGTGAGCAAGCATGACACATCATTAGGCCCTCGCCTACAGCAACCTTATGGGTGTTTTTGTGGTACGCTGCTCAGGGTCTTTGCAAAGTCATGAGTGAGGAAGGTTGGATTTTGATTGGCATGAGGTTATGGTGGGCGTGCAGGCTCGGCCAGGACAGCGCCTTTTAGCTTGCCCTTTTTCAATAGCGGGTCAGATGCTACATGGCCATGGGTCAAAATCCCGTATTTTCAGTGAACATCCCAATCCCCACTAAATTAGGTTCTAAAATGGGTGCACCGAAAAACCCAAAATGGGATCCCATTGGTTTTGAGCCAAAGCGCCACATGGCGCTCTAATGCCAGGTGTCCGGCGAGATGGGTCCAGCCTTGTCCTTCTTCGGTAGCTCCCCGCTTCTTGGCCAAGCGATCTGGGTATGGGTCGAAATCAACAGGGGACCAGAGGTTTAGTCTATGTGTCCATCTGCCAGGGTTCCATTTTGGGTGCCTATTTTTGACCAGCCATCTTAAGATGAAGCGCAAGCTCTCGTGGAGGTTGGCGCTGGGCCTCTTGCTCCTCCGCTCCTGTACCTTTTTCCTCGGTGGCTTTGCTGCAAAAATCGGTGCAAGGCAGGGTCCTTGGAACATTTGTGACCGAGGAGCGCTTGCTCTGATAGCTCTTACAAAGGACATTTGTTGGAATTCCGCGTTTGATAGAGTCACAGGGCAAGATGTTCGTGGAAGGAGTATGGAACCGGAGCGGCCACGGCTGTCGGCACAGCCCGCAAGTCGCTCACTGTGCTGGAAGCCTATGCTTCAGCCTGCGCTTGCCAAATGCCGATGAGCGGGGAAACATGTTCATGACGCTGAGGCTTCTATCCTTCCTCATTTTTCCGAAGCCATTTCATGTGAGCCTCGACAAAACTGAAGATGGGGGGTTGAGGTTGGTAAGCTGCTAGAGTCTGCTGGAGGGCTTGCCGGCGCAGCATGAGTTTGCAGTCCACACTCTCTCAGGAATTATGTCCTGGGCACGCTTGCATCCTGGCAGCACTGGGCTTCCAGGTGAACTGATCTTGCCAAAGACTGCGTCGAAATCTGGGCAATGCTAATGGTGGGCCTTCCGAATTGCCGACTATGTTGTGATGAGTAGCCATCAGCTGACAGTAGCAAAGCTGCTGGAGCCAGCTGGCAATGTGTCCAGTCAGATCATCATGTACTCGTTGACATTGCCACGTCGGTAAAATATTCTTAGAATACTTGTTTGTGTGTGTGTGTGTGTGTGTGCGGGCGGGTGGGCGGGCGGGCGCACGGGCGCGCGGGCGCGCGGGCGTGCGCGTGTGCGGGTGCAGGTGCGCGTGCGCGTGTGCATGTGCGTGTGCGGGTCGTGCCAACAATCACTTCCCCCTAGAAACATGGATTATTAAACGCGAACATTCTGCGAAGAAATGATAGGGTCCCAAGGCCTACCAGGGATTTCGGTTCCTCAGGGCAAGGACGCAAATGGGATTTTGCTTAGGCACAGAAGCAAGCAAGCGATGAGCGAGATATCTGCAGCCAGTCAACGCAGTTTGGGCCAAGGCATTTGTCCTTGCAGACATCATCTATCTTCAGGCTTGCGGTTTTTTTGTTGCATGCGTGTGCCTGGTGCATGTCTTGCGAGGAAACGTAAAAAGTATCAACAGGTGTCCGGTTTTGCCACTCATGACCACAGCTTGTGCGCAGGTGAGTTCTGCTCGAGCAGCTGCGCGCAGCAAGGTCTCAGCTCCTTTGTCCAGAATTCCTTTCTTTCGGTGGCCGTTCGGAGACTCTTGCCGGTTGCATACACTCACTTCCTGAGTGAATTGACCAGAAAAAGTCCGACATTTTTCTTTATGAGCTACTTTGTGTTTGCATATGCAAGCTCACAGGATTTCACAACGGACGAGAATTGTGCAAGCTCTCCGCCAGCCACCAGGCTGATGTGGAGCCCAACGATCTTGGTCTACCCAGGCGTCACGTCAAAACAAAACCACACCATGCTAGAGTGCGAGTTCCGGAAAGGCCTGGGAAGGACAAGGAGAACTATGCCAAGGATGATGTCTGATCGCTTTGTGTGCTCTCGGCCTAAGGCTCGAGGCACTGTCTGAAGCCAAAAGTTGTATCAGACAGTCAAGCCACTTTGGATTTGCCACAGTTGTGTAACCACCGCCGCAATGCCTTTGTACAGTGCTCATTGCACTGTTCTGCATTCAATCATGTTGGGTGGTCTCACCAAGTTCATCCGAATAGGTTGGGCATCCAAGTGGCTGCGATGGACATCGCGTTGTGATATTCTTTCACACCCTGTAACTCTGCATTCGGGGGAGGCGGCGCAAATGCTTGGCGAGAAAAAGCTTCTTCATGCCAGCACTAAGCCCAGCTGTTCTTAGCTTGCCAGCATTGCTCGAGCTTCTCAAGAACAGAAGAAGCGCTGTGAATGGCACCACAAGAGGTCCAAATACATCAACTCCAGCCCAGAGCGGTGGACCAGTCCAGACCCGTAGACCAGACCAAGCACGACTAATGCTGAGCACAGAACAAGACTTGTGGGGCATCCCTCCACGGCTGGGGCATCCCTCCACGGCGGAGACGCCCAAGCTTTAGCCTTTAGCCCGGCCGATAGAGTGCATGCCTTGTTCCAGAGGGTAGGACTCTTCAGAGTCCCTGCAGGGATCAGGCTCGGCATGGCTGTGGGTCAAAACTAATGGGATCCCATTTTTAGGGTAGGTGCACCACCCATTTTAGTCTATTTCAGTGGGGATTGGGATGTTTTTTGGGGGTACGGGATTTTGACCCATGGCCGCATGGCAAGGTGGCCCAGCGAACGTGTTGCAAGCCAGGCATGGCTGTCTCGACCGTGCCTTCCTCGGAGACCGGTGAGTTGAGTTGTGTGGGAGCTTGCGCTACCAGGGCACAACACCGGGACTGCAGAGCGCAGGCTCTTATCTCAGAGCTCACAGCCGCAAGGGGTAGATGGTAAACACGTACACGACTCATACACATACACCCACATACACACCTAAGGCACCATCACAGCACCTGTTCGTCCAAGCTCAGATGTGGCTTTGAACTCTGCTGTGGTGCCGATGCTCAGAAACGTGGAGCTTGTTCAAGTTTCCCAAAACACATCCATCTCGGAAATCTCCTGGTTCAATCCGAGGCGGGGCCGCAACGTGCAGAACTTAGAGACAGCCTGCTGTAGTCTTGCGTGCACGCACTCACTCACTTACTCACTCCCGCACGCACGCACACACGCACGCACACACCCATCCGAACCTTTTTTCGCTGCATATTGTTTATTCGTGCTTTTGCAAGTTGTTTATTGTTATATACTTGTGCAGTGTATGTCTGTGTGTGTGTGTGCACATTTCTGTTTCTAGAGGGTGGGGTGGGCTGGGGTGCATCGCCCTCAGCACCACTAGCGTCGGAGTTAAATACCTTGCGCGGGACACTCAGCCGGGATTCTTCACATGGAATTCAAGAGTCGAAGACTTCAATTGTCACGCTTTGGGGGTTAATTTGGGGGTGCAAGAGGACGGACTCTTTCCGTGATTCATTGCCCAGCCCTAGTGGTGCTTTGGAAACTTCATTTTGCAGCGTTTCGTCGCAGCGCACTAGGGGTGTCCCCAAAGGCCTGTGTCTACAAAGTGTCCGCAACCGCAAGCGAGCGTGTTAGTGGCACGGCTCTCTTTTAGGGACACCCCTTGCGATGCATCGCTTGGCAGTCAAAGCTTGGTCTACAAAGTGCCCTTGTCACAGTGCTGCGTTAATGTGTCCTGCTGAAAGACTCAGCTAAATATTATATATTGGCACGCGTGCTTCGTGAATTTGTGAATTCGACGCTAGGTTAAATTGGCAGGTAGGGCCAGGTTTGCCCGGGCCCTCTGGGGAAAATCAACAGGCATGGGATTCCAAGCTTGTAAGAGCTTGCATTCGTGGTTTTCTCTTGGCTTGGTTGGCTTGGTTTCCTTTCGGTTTCCCTTTGGTTCCTTTTGGTTCGCCCTTGGTGTTGCTTTAATGTGGTTGTGAGTGTGTTTGTGTGCGCGCAGCGTGCGCGCGCTGCGTGCGCGCGCTGCTGCCTGCTGCTGCCGTGTGTATGTGTGTGTGTCTGTGTGTCTGTGTGTCTGTGTGTCTGTGTGTCTGTGTATTTGTGTGTCTGTGTGTCTGTGTGTCTGTGTGTCTGTGTGTCTGTGTGTCTGTGTCTCTGTGTCTCTGTGTCTCTGTGTCTCTGTGTCTCTGTGTGTCTGTGTGTCTGTGTGTGTGTCTGTGTGTCTGTGTGTGTCTGTGTGTGTCTGTGTGTGTGTGTGTCTGTGTGTCTGTGTGTGTCTGTGTGTCTGTGTGTCTGCGTGTGTGAGCGTGTGTCTGTGTGTCTGTGTGTGTGTGTGTCTGTGTGTGTCTGTGTGTGTTTGTGTGTGTCTGTGTGTGTGTCTGTGTGTCTGTGTGTCTGTGTGTCTGTGTGTCTGTGTCTCTCTGTGTGTGTGTGTGTCTGTGTGTGTCTGTGTGTGTGTGTGTGCGTGCGTGCGTGCGTGCGTGCGTGCGTGCGTGCGTGCGTGTGTGTGTGGGTGTGTGTGGGTTTGGGTTTGGGTTTGGGTTTGGGTTTGGGTTTGGGTTTGGGTTTGGGTTTGGGTTTGGGTTTGGGTTTGGGTTTGGGTTTGGGTTGTGGTTGTGTGTGTTTTTCGTCTGTGTGTGTGGTTGCGCGTTTGTGTGTGTGTGTGTGTGTGTGTTGGCGTGTGGTTGTGTGCGCGTGGTCGCCGTGTGTGTGTGTGCGTGTGGTTGTGTGTGTGTGTGTGTGTGTGTGTGTGTGTGTGTGTGTGTGTGTGTGTGTGTGTGTGTGTGTGTGTGTGTGTGTGTGTGTGTGTGTGTTCGTGCGGGTGGGTGGGTGGGTGGGTGGGTGGGTGGGTGGGTTGGGTGATGGGTGTGCATTCGTTCCAGTTGCATTTGCGCAAGGCCCTGGCCCAGCTGGCAAGAAGTGGAGCGAGGCTCGTGTTTGTTTGTGCTTGTGTTTGACCTGAGCCACAATCAAAATCCGGGTAGATGAAGGTTGGCAAGCAATAATCCGAACCAGAAATAGTTGCGGCCGCCTTCGCAATTCTTTATGGCTCTGGGTAGACCATGTTAGTACCGGGCTTTGATTATGACTCACCTGACCTTCGCAGTGCCTGTCTCCTTGATGTTGCAACTATCGTCAAGATATCTTTTGTCAGGTGTGTGAGCAAGTGCAGAAGCCAGACGGTTCCGTGAGGACGTCATGACATGCGCGAATCTGATGTCTCAAGGCGTTGCAAGCTAAAGCTGTTGGCAAACATAAAGAATCTGGGTGTGGCTCAAAACTAAACAGCTAGAGTTACGAAAGTTTCAGTCTTTGGTTCCATGTACCATTTGTTTGAGGCTTGTGGTGTCTCCTGTTGCCAATCGGAAGCGGCTTGCCAAGAAGAGAGAGTGCTGAGAGTGCGAGGACTTCGCCGCCTTTCAAGAGCGCAGCTACAGCTGGCACCTCGCCGCCGCGGCCAGGACCAGGCGTGATATTTTGAGTTGGCGTCCGCGATCAAGTCTTCCATTTTGGCGCGAAATGGACATTACTGTAGCACTTGATATTGTACGGTACCCAGATGCTGCGCCAGGCTTCTGTAGACGCCCTAGCCGCGGCCGCACTAGCCTGTACGGGGGCATAACCGCAAAAGTCTGGGGCCCGGAGACTTCTAGACGGCTAGCGGCTAGACTGGAGCTTGACCATGGCCTTGGATAAGCTTGGCCTCAGGATCCCTCGCGAGCTGGTTCCTCTCGTGGTGGGTCTTCAGGTGGGAAAGTGCGTGTCAGTATTTGATGTGTCCTCGGGGTTCATGAAGCTTGGCATCAGGGAAGTCCTCCCGGTCGTCTTCTCGCGACATTGCCCGAGATGGCCTGCAGCCCAGTGGACACCATCTGGTGCGTTTTGTGTTTCGGGATACAGCTTTGGCATGGGAACCGATCTGGTGCACAATGCAGCGGCGATGGGGGAAGCTCCGGGAAGCAGGTGATATTTCTTCCAGATGTTCGTCAGGATGTGCAAGCCTTAGGAGCTGGGCTGGGGGAGCGGCGCTTCTGCGCGCAGCGGGCGCATGAGCTCTAGGTTGGGAGACGTCGACGAACTCCTCGGAGCCTGTGACGGACATTGTCCCGCCAAGAGCTCATAGCCAAAGCTGGCTGCTTGCCAGTCTGAGAAGCAACACATTGTGTGGGTCAAAATAGAACCACCAGGGACCGCAGGTTTTAGTTCTTGGTTCCATTTACCAGGGTTTGATTTTGGGTACCTATTTTTGACCCACAGCCACATGTTTTTCATTCGAGACACTCAGGTCGCCAATGGAATCAAAAGGCCTTTTGATGCCGGATCCCATCAGGCCTTTGGGCTGGCTAGTGCCTGAAACATGCCGCCTGCGAGATTGGGTTGCTGTTCTTGTTGATTGCTTGACATGAGCCAACTCCTTTGCGGACCACACAGGACTGGCATCATCCCACCAGCACTTTTGGCTGATGAGCACGTCCCCCCTGCTGATGCAGTGAGGGCTTGGCTCTCAGCTTGCTTTGGCCGGATAGGTTGAAGCATGATGTGTGCCTCGATTTTGTTGTAGATCAGTCGCTGTTGGCAATGCTGTGCTCGGCCGGGTAGCTGAGTTCACTTGCCGAGGTAGATCAGACTGAGCAGCCAGGTGCATACAAGGCCAGCCCGAACAGAATCTGAGCGACTATGTGTCCTGAGCGTGCGTGAGTGCCCACGTTTCCTGTCCTGTCCTGCCCTGCCTAACTGCCAGTGCCTCTGCCGGGCGTTTTTTTTTGCGCGGGTGCGTGCGCGTGCGCATGCGTGGAGTGTGTGTTGTGTTGTGTTGTGTTGTGTTGTGTTGTGTTGTGTTGTGTTGTGTTGTGTTGTGTTGTGTTGTGTTGTGTTGTGTTGTGTTGTGTTGTGTTTGTGTTTGTGTTTGTGTTTGTTTGTTTTGTGTTTGTGTTTGTTTGTTTTGTGCGTGTGGGTGGGTGTAGTGGGTGCAGCGGGTGTGCGGGTGCATCCTGTTTTGTTGGCTGACATGAACATGACTGCGATTTCAGTATGTCAGCCCGAAGCACCTCAGCAGTTTGATGGCATGGGCTTCACAGCTGCATGATGCCAACAGGTAGCTGACAGTGAACCAACTGATCCGCTGCCTGATTCTAGAGCAGGCCGGGATGCTCATTTCGTTTGTGTGTGTGCATGCCCATGTTTTGCAGTACAGCTTCCCAGTTTGCAGACTTGCCTGGAGTTGGCAGACGATATGTGTGCTTGATATGCCAAATCACCGCAACCCACAGCTACTTTCAGCGCCTAGTTCCTGTAACGCAATCCGGTCCCATTCAACGTTCATGTCCGACAAAATATAGTGACATGAAAGCTTTGAGAACATCTCCTTGGAACATCGAACAAAGCTTGTTCAAAACCGAACCCCCAATGATTAGCGGATAGCGGATGATGTGGTTTACGGATTAGATTGTGCGGCTTGCAGATCACGGACTATAGGTTGCGTAGAATTCCGCTCCAAGATATAGTGTTGGCCCACAATTTGCAGCGGATTACGGATTAGGCCCCCTGGATTTTGAACAGGTATATTATGTCCATGACAGCAATCTCATATTTTTGACGGCGTATGTTCTGGCGACTGTGAGAGCCCTGCTTTTCCTTTGCTGCTGGGGCGTTTCATACCTCAGGCCAAGGCCAAGCAAGCTTGGCTTGTCAAAGCTTGAATCGAAATGCCACAGCCCAACTACCTGCCCATAGCACCCAATCTGCTTACAATACGAAGGCGCCAAGTCAAAAGCGGTATGCGCAGCCGCGGTTACAAGCGGATGTCCATCTGCCAGCCTGGCCAGGGGGGGATGGCAGATAGGCACAGCACGCCGCTCTTAAGCAAGCCGTGTACACGTGTTCCCAAGCCTCAAAAACTCAGACGCAAGTGTTGTGACAGGCGCATGTTGCTTTGGCCCCATGGCACGGTCGCTAGTGTGAAGTTTAACACCTGCTACAGAGCACAGTCATCGCGGTATAGGCTATACACGTTGGCGCCGGCTTGAGGGGGGGGGGGCAACGCCGGCCAACGTCAGTGGCAGCATACTGTGGTATTGTGTATGCGTGTGTGTAGTTTGCGGTTCAGTGACCAGTGGGTAGTGTGTTGTCCTTGCATGTGTGTTTGTTTGTGTTTGTGTTTGTTTGTGTTTGTGTTTGTGTTTGTGTTTGCGATTGTGTGTGGTTTGCGGTGTGTAGTGCATTGTTTTATGCTTGTGTTGTTTGTTTGTGTTTGTGTTTGTGTTCTGTATATATATATAATATATATATATATATTTGTGTGTGTTGCTGTGCGTGTGTTGTTGTATGTTTCTGTGTCTGTGTTTGGGCGTGCAACTGTGTGCATGTGTGTGTGTGTGCTTGTGTGTGTGTGTGCGTGTGTGTGTGTGTGTCTTTGTGTCTCTGTGTTTGTGTGTCTGTGTGTGTGTGTGTGTGTGTTTGTGTGTTTGCGTGTTTGTGTTTGTTTGTGTGTGTGTGTGTGTGTGTGTGTGTGTGTGTGTGTGTGTGTGTGTGTGTGTGTGTGTGTGTGTGTGTGTGTGTGTGTGTGTGTGTGTGTGTGTGTGTGTGTGTGTGTGTGTGTGTGTGTGTGTGTGTGTGTGTGTTTGTGTGTGTGTGTGTGTGTGTGTGTGTGTTTGTGTGTGTTTGTGTGTGTTTGTGTGTGTTTGTGTGTGTTTGTGTGTGTTTGTGTGTGTTTGTGTGTGTTTGTGTGTGTTTGTGTGTGTGTGTGTGTGTGTGTGTGTGTGTGTGTGTGTGTGTGTGCGTGTGTGTGTTTGTGTCTGTCTGTGTGTGTGTGTGTCTGTGTGTCTGTGCGTCTGTGCGTCTGTGCGTGTGTGCGTGCGTGTGTGCGTGCGTGCGTGCGTGCGTGCGTGCGTGGGTGGGTGGGTGGGTGGGTGGGTGGGTTGGTGTGTGGGTGGGTGGGTGTGTGTGTGTGTCTGTGTTTGTCTATGAGTTTCTCTGATCCGCAGCCTAGCTCGTGCAATACTTGCTTTCGCTGCTTTCACCTTATGTGTTGGAAGGTTTTAAAGTAACGCGACACCCAATGTTGCTATGACAAATGTGATACCACGCGCCCGCAAGCAAAGGTTGAAAGCAGACTTCCTGCTCGCATTCCGTCCTGCTTTGCTTGTGTGATTGGAATCCCAATCCGCCAAAGCAACCAAGCAGCCAACAGATAGGTGCTGATTTGGTGGACCAAGTGCTTACATTGGTGAATCAGATATCCAGCATTGGCTTCATTGGCAGGTAGGTTTGTCGCTGGAGCATTCTTGGGGTATCTGAAAGATGCATGCAGCTCCGCAGCAGGCAACAGCGTTTCCGTGGGGATGCCTCTCAAGTGGGACCCCTTCGGACGAGACGGAGCTTGCCGGCAAGATCCAAAGGCTGAATGGTCGTCGTGGCATGCTTTCTTATCTGGGCTGTCATAGACCGAAAGATGTGAGTGGCGTATGGCGCCTTGTGTTACCCGCGTGTCAGTGACAACCTGATATATGACTTCTTATTTAGTGCCAGGACACCAGATTCATTGACGAAGTACTTGAAGGCGCAATCATAGCTTTGCTTCATCCACGGCATCGTTGCAGACCTGCTAGGGGGTTGCCATTCAAATCGACGACAACCTGAGTCGTGGACACTTGCCCGAGTCTCGGCGTCGATAGTGCATGACAAATAGAACGTGTTTCCTTCAAGGCCGACCGCAGACCGTCTCGACAACTTCGTACATAGACTTGCTCCTTGGTTGCCAGCCAATATTATACATATATAGAAATGTGAAAGTCATCCCATATTTCGCGATGTAAGTTTGCTTGTTTTGCGCTATGCAGGATGACTGGGACATCTCTAGTTTTGACTGACAATTTGCGGGATGTGTTGTTTTTGCTGCATTTGTGAGGGCGCCAGAAGCTAGTGCATGCCTTGATATAGATGCAGAAGTTCTACTTGCAAAGCATGGCTTTTGGACATGTTTGTGTTTCTCAATACTAAAAACGGACCCGGAAACACAATATCCATTCGAGGTTGGCTGATCTTTGAACTTGCGCGTTGTTTGCAGGCTTTGGAGTTTCCCTGGCTTGGTTTTCCGAAAACTCGGTCGGTGAAAGCTCTGCGAAAGGGCCACCGTGTGTTCAGACGGCGATTGGGGCAGTGAGAGTATGCGTCAGTGGGTTGGCTTGCGTTGCTGTGTTTTTGTTTGCCTTGAAGTGCCGTGGTTTCTGAGTGAGCGTGAGTGGGCGCCGAAACACGCGTGCTGGATTCCAAGATGCATGTCGGGGATGGCGTTGTGGCTTCGGCGCTGCTCAAACGCAAGAGCAACTTGAGCAGAGCAACTTGCGCAGAGCAACTTGCGCAGGGCAATCGCAGTTGCAACTTGCGCAGGGCGACTTGAACGTAAGAGCTTGCGCAGAGAGATTTGCGCAGAGCGCAAGTTCTACGACGTGTGGTTATTTGCGCGTGTGCGTGAAACGTTCTGTTGGGGGTGCTGAACTTCCCCGTTTCGGCCAACCGTCCTCTTATTTTGTCTTAGGGAGAAGGAGAAGGGATGAAATCAGAAGAACGATGCAGGCTGCAGAGATTGAGGCTTGGGCTGGGCCAAGTCAAGCATGGGCGGCGGCGCAAAGTGGTGGGAACTTCAAACTGAAGCGGCGGGCCGGCCAGCACCGCGGCCAGCCAGCGCGCGCGTGTGGTATGGGAGCAAGGAAGGGCAGAGGCCCAAGCAAAAGTGGGGTGTGGGAAGATCCCTATGATCTAAAAAGGATGTGACCGCTTCCCGGCTCTGGGGGCCGAGGCGAAGTTCAACGAGCAAAACAAGCCGCCACCAAAGGAAAACACACACACACACACACACACGCGTGAAAGCTTCGAGAGAGTACTATGAGGGTAACCAAATCCCGACCAGTTCTGGTTTTGGGCGCCGCTCAAGCGGCTAGCTGAGGTGATTTATTCGCATCGGCAGTTCAAGCATGCACCCAAGAAGGCGAGCCTGTTTGGTGGCGCATTCTGTGACCATTACCCATGAATGCAAGTCAAACTTCACGAGGCGCCTTTGGACTGTCTGCAGGTGCGGCACAAATTGACGGCAACCTTCACAACGCGATTTCAGACCTTTTGGAACTTCTCCAGAAATGAGAAGGTGTGGGGTGCGCAACCGACAGTTGTCAGGCTGTTTAGTGCACGTCAGGTCCGAAACATCACACCAGAGGAGTTGAAGGGCATCCTTCTGGCTTTGGTGGAGGACCATGGAGCAAGCAATTCGCTTGCTGCTGTTCATGAAAAGCATCATTGGCCCTCGGTTTGTGCTGAGTTGTTTCGGTCAGAACCTCTCCCACCATGACTTGACCCTAAGCGAACAGCCGCTAGCGCAGCCCTAGCCTCAGGAATCGGCAGCTCAATTGTGTCTATGGCAATGTGGCTTTGATGATTTATCTTATTATCTTGCAAGGCCGAAGCCTATGCGGTATTATTCCTACGGTCAGGCACAGGGGCGCTTCACATTGCTGTGACATCAGCTTACTTTCCGCCAGGTTGTGAGACCTGAGAGCACCGCCTGACACGAGAGCAAGGCATTGTTGCCCTGGTTGGCATCGAGCATATGACGTTGGCCACAGGTCGTTCTGACTGGCACTTGCAGTGGCGGCATGGGCGCAGCAGCCGGCATCTGAAAGCGAAGTGCCTGCGTTTTGGCAGAAGTGTTTGCTGGCTGCTGCCCTGATGCACCATGCTCTTGCGGTTTGAGCGAGTTGGCGACCCTGACAGTCTGACACGTGTTTACTCTCAGCAAATGCAGAATTGAGAATTGCTGGATGGGATACATCGGTTTGACCAATTGGCATATGCCATGCAAATAGGCCAGTGAAGGCGAGGTTTCACACAAGGTTAGCAGTTAGCGAGGTTTGTACGTCTTGCCAAGACGTACAACTCCTTTGGTTAGTTACGATCGATCGTCTTTGGAATCTCAATGAATCCAAAAAGGAGTGATGTTCAAACAAATGAACTGACTTGCCCAAGTGCGCGGGGGCAACTTCAAAAGAACACGCAGCATGCAATTAATTTCCTGTTTTGAGGCCTGGGAGTACGTTTTGCATGTTTGCTTAATTACTCCCACTATCTTGTTTTTGCTTACTTTGCTTACCTTGCCCACCTTGTTTACCTTATTTACCTTGTTACTTTGCTTACCTTGTTATTTAATGGCCTGCGGCCTGGTTCCGCCGCCCCCACACACCTTAGAATTTCGGCCCGGGACGAGAGAAAGCACGCGATATGTAGACAGACACAGACAGACACAAAGACACGCAGACAGACACGCAGCGGGGGGGGAGGGTCTTCGCGGACACGAAGACAGACGCAGATGCGCAGGCAGACGCAGACAGAGCCAGACAGACACAAATACACAGACAGACACGCGGGGCGGGGGGGACACGAAGAAAGACGCAGATACGTAGACAGACACAGACAGACACAGACAGACACAGACAGACACAGACAGACACAAAGAGACAGAGACAGACACGCAAGGGGTCTTCGCGGACACGAAGACAGACGCAGACAGACCCAGACAGACACAAAGAGACACAGACAGACACGCAGGGGCAGGGGGGTTCTTCGCGGACACGAAGACAGATGCAGAGACGTAGACAGACATAGACAGACACAGGGGGGGGCGGAGGGGTGGGGGAAGACTACCCGAAGCCTAGGGAAGAAGCCCGCAAGCACAGGACACGCGCGTTGTTTGGTCCCGAAACAGTAGCGGAAGACTAGGAGAAGAAGCCGGAAGATTACGGAAGACTACGGGAAGAAGCCGAAAGATTGCGGAAATTTACGCGAAGAAGCTTGAAAGATTTCGGAAGACTACGGGAAGAAGCCGGAAGACTACGGAAGACTACGGGAAGAAGCCGAAAGATTACGGAAGCTTACTGGGAGAAGCCGGAAGACTACGGAAGACTACGGGAAGAAGCCGGGGGGAGGAAGGGGGGGAGGGGGGGGGAGGGAGGGGGAGGGGAGGGGGAGGGGAGGGGGAGGGGAGGGAGGGGGAGGGGGGGAGGGAGGGGGAGGGAGGAGGGAGAGGGGGAGGGGGGGGAGGAGGGGAGGGGGAGGAGGGGAGGGGGAGGAGGGGGAGGGGGGGGGGGAAGGGAGGAGGAGGGGGGAGAGGGGGGCGGGCAGGGAGGGAGAGGGGGAGGAAATCCAGAATTCGAGATCAAGAATCCAGAGATCCAGAAATCCAGAAATCCAGCCGACGTAGAAACCAGCCCCAAGGGCCGCCCCAAGGGATATATAGGTTATATATATATATATATCTACATAATCATATTCACATTAAACTTCTAGAAAGCATATTAACAAAAGTAACATAGAACACACCGCCCCCATGCCGAAAGCATGGTCTATTCTGGACTAGGCATGGGGTCGGCGGATCTTGCTTATCTTATTATTTTGCTTACCTTGTTACTTTATTCACTTTGCCTAGCTTGCATACTTTGCACACTTGATTACTTTGTCTTGCCTGATTACGTTGTTTTGTTTGTTTGCTTTATTGCTTGATTTTGATTATGGATTGTTATTGGAAATAATGAATTCATTTTAATTGTTTATTTAAATATTATAATTATAATTATATATATTATTTAAATTGATTTTTTTTGTTATTATGGAATTATTAAAATTATATATTGAATATATTATTTGTTTTTAATTTTGGGGTTAATAATTGATATAGCTAATTATATATTTATATAAAACTAAGATAAAGAATAAATATGTTTATTATTGATTTGATAAATTTTATGTAATTGTTGATATATATTTATTAATTTTATTTGTTTTTAAATATTAAATATAAATAATTTTAATACTTAGGAATTTTGTTATAGTGTTTGTACGGAGCTTATTTGGGTTAAGATTCGAAAGTTTGTAATTATTGGGAAATGAAAAATAAATAATATAATATTCGAGAAAATGGTGGATGGTTACGATTTTGCCGAAATATTTGGAATGATTTAGGAAATTTGTTTTTACAAAAAATGAAGTTATTGTATTTTTCGGATTATAATCGGGGTAATCCGGATAGGTTTGGGTAAACGATCCATAAGAAATATGAAAAGGTTATATCTTTTAAGGATAGACCGGAATCGAAATATTCCGATATTTCGGAAAAATGGTCCGGGCTTTGAACGAAATCGTTGTGTTTTCTAGATAAAGAATCGGAACATATATTTATCTATGCATAGTTAGTTTGGCTGAAATTTTGCATTCATTTTCCGAAAATTTGGAGATATGAGAAATTATGAACCGTGGCCGATTATTATGACTAGTGGTATTTTTCTTAATGTTTTGAACGAAATTAATTCGGCTTTGATTGAATTTAGGATATTTTCCGGTCGATCGTATTTTCGTTTGCGTTTATAACAATTTTGAGCCTAATAATTCATGGATCCGTTCTCACCTCGCTCAGACGACTGCTTTTCACTGATTCTTTGGCATGACCTTATCGCGACCAGCCCGGTCCTCAGTGCATGGAGAACGGTATGCTTTTCGCATACGATAAATGTATATTTGTTGATATATATATATATATAATATAATAAAATAGATTGGTGCCTGAATTGCAAAAAATAACCGGCGCGGGCTCTATAAGCTTTGCTCTTGGCCCCTGAGAACTCGGCTCATACGATTCTTTGTTTGGGAAACGCATGTGAAGCTTCGTGAGATCGCGTCTTTGCAGACGCTCTGGTCTCGGTTTGTGGGTTGTTTTTGATAGGTTGGAATATGCTGGAACTCTTTTTCATGATTATTTTTCCTTTTTTGATATTCATTTCTATTTATTATTGGTTTAGATTGGTGATTTGGGAATTGATTCTTGAAGAATAATAAAATTAAATAAGACCCCAATTTCCCTAATTTTTTTAAAAAAAATTATCTATAAATATATTAAATAGCATTCCTTAATTTATAAATATTTTTTTGTATTGGAAATTGAATTATATTTTTCTTCCCGAAATAATCATCGTTCATAATAAACGAATAATATATATTTCCGAATTATACGAATAGATTAATTAAAAAATTAATTACAAAATATATATATTTTTTGCGCGTGATAGAGCTCGAAAAACGTTTTGGAATTATATTTAATAGCTGCATTATATAATTCAAGGAAATATATATTAGATTTCGAAGAAAATATTTTAATATTATATTTATATAATCGTTTTTATAAAACACATAAGGTTATAAATATGTGTTTTTTTCTTTTTACGATCCTAAAAATAATTTTTTATGTATTCGGACATTAAGTAGCATTTTAGTATTATAACCGGCAAGCAAATAAATATAATTTCTATAATTAATATTATATTTGTAAGTTTAGGACCTCGAACCTCGAAGTATAATAAAAAATCATTTCTATATATTATAATCGGTATAAAGAAATAAATCAGGGAATATAACCGCGAAAAACCCAAGTTTTTAAATTATAAATACTTAAACATTTCCATATAAAATAATGCCCACAGAAATATTTAGCTTCGTGCAAGCCATATACAATCACAAAATGCTTTTTACATTATAAAAGCCAACAAATATTTACTATAAAGAGAAATAAAATAAAAATTAGAGATTAAAAAATATATAAACCCAAAAACCGATATTAACACGAGCGAAAACCACAATCCCAAAATCGGCATATAAAAAACAAAATCTCATACAATATCTAATATCTAAAAACAAAGATTAAAAATACTATTTTTCTTATTTATATTTCGGATTTTAATAAATCATTATAAATTATATATTCGGCAATTATTATTTGGTTCCCATAACAAATATTATAAAAATCAATAATTTATAATTTTATTAATAATTTAAATCTTAAAAATTCTTCTAATATTATATATTATTCTTGTTATTATAATATAAAAAACATATATACTAAAATTCTAATATATAGAATAGATTATCCTAACTATATAATTATATATTTTTAAAATAAAAATATATATATATATATGTTTTTAAACATAAAAATCAAAAGAATACATATAACATGTAAATTATTATAATTGTACGAAAAAAGGGATAAATATATCTTTTTATTCAATTCGATTTTTTAGAATAAGAAAGAAACATAACTTTGCAAATAGAACCCGAAACGGGGACCTCACGCCTCACGCCTTGCTTGCTGCTTGCTTGCGAAGCTGTGCAAAAGACTTGGAAAGAGGTTCAGTGCAAGGCACCAAGAACTCAACATTTGTTTAAATTTTGTGCTGGGTAATCGCGCGGAACCGCCAGTCCTGCCTGCTTCCTGTTTTCAATAGTGGCTCATGCCAAGACCCAAATTAAGTTCCACGCCAGCGCCATGGAAGTTGTTGCGTTGGCGAGAACAATACAGAGAGTCTGGCCAAAGAATAAAAATAGGATGAGTTGTCCCAAAAAGCCGCGGAAGATCTCAGAAGGATCATTCCATTTCTGAGGTGCTGCCTTTGCGTGGCCCGATAAAAAAAGGAACACGCGACGCCTTCAAAGGTCGTTCTACTTAATTCCCCTGTCACCCATCAGTGAAACCTGGCTTCTTGTTAAACAAGCAAACACTCCAAGTTGTGCATCGAAGCTGAAGAAGCGGCCTTGAGTAGCGGTAGTCTGTATACGAGTTCGGGACCAGGCCATGGCCCCATGGTCTCACTGCGAACTGGCATCTCACTAACCCAAGGCGGGTGGTCGCGGGCAAGCCTCTGCAAAGTCTGGCAGGGCCAACGCCTGGCCGAGCTGTGCCCAAAGAAGGACTCCGACCACAAGCATGAATAACTCCAGCGAGAAGCGGCTATGTTTGCGTTAAGGGGCCACAGTTTTACGAGAGCAACTAACATAAAACCAGGTATTTGGAGAGGTCCCGAGTTGTGACCCACCGAGATTCATCCAAACGACATACTTATCGTGGCCGAAACGCAGCTTTGAGGTTTGCCTTGCCTGCAGC